CACCGTTCAGACTGAAAACAGGGCACTTCAGTCTCACCCTGAACCCCTATGGGTGAATTAAACGCCTTTTTCAGTACATACCTGTTTCTATCAGTCCTTTATGTGCTTTTTACCGAATGTATATTTGTGATCAAAGCTAAATCCTATATGAGTGTGCCATTCTTGAAGCTGCCATTCTTGAAGCTACACAAATTTTCGGGCCAGACTATTCCTCATCGAGGAAGTTAGGGGGCACAATCACAGATCGCTGTAGTTGTTTCGCTGGCTGTTCCGACAAAAAACCATGGCAGGCATTTAATTTAAAAAAATTGTGACATCAAACCAATCATGATGGTCAAAATATTAAACCTACATTGGATCGGTGTCGTTTTAGCATGTTGTCCTGATGAACACCATTTCAATCGATGATATGTATATATGCGCTACTCTGCACGTTGAGTTGTTCGTGCTCGTATTCTTCCATTTTTGGGTTTACTTTTCGTTGAGTCGCCCATGTTTGCCAGACATTTAACCAGGTCTGTGTAGCTTTCAACGTGTTTTTGTTTTTCGCATTTTCTTTAAGTTGCTCAACGATGTTTTGGTTTGACAAAGCAAACCGGCTGTCAGCCATTTTTGTTTATAATTTGGTGTTCAAATTTGGCGCTTCCCCGGTGTTTCCATGGCAACTTCTCCGTATTGCACTCTATAACCTCTATTGCACTCTATAACCTATTTATGCATTCATCATTGACCAATCAGAAACGCGATATTTTGTTGAGTATATAATAAACAACAGATAAAGCGCCCCACGCAAGCTGATAGAGTTTTTGTGGCAAAAACAACTCTACGATCTCCCTTTCAGACAGTAAGAGAATGAAAAAGGAGCTGCTAAGGTTGCATCATAAATGACCACAGTAGAATAAAAACGAGAAACCGGTCGTTTTCAACACAAGCATGCTCAGCTTGTCGATATTTTTTAGTCGATAAAAATAACATATTTAAGGCTCCAAGCTCAGTTCTGTTTTAATTGCCATTTGGCGACCTAAAAAACATAAAACACAATTTGCACCAAAGCCGACTCTGGACAATTTTGCTATTTTTTCTCAAGTGAACGTAGATGTGCTCCTTTTACGACTATTAAATAAACTAAAATTAAAAAGCATTTCGTTTCGTAGCACAACGATCACGAGCTTTGAGTGTTGATGACTACCAGACTAATACCAAAGAAAAGTTATATTAACCATTTAACTCCCAGATCAAATTTGTCATTCTCCTAACTGTCAACCATACAATTTTTATAATGCTAGTTCAGAGAATTTAGTATTGAATCAACTAATTATTCCCAAATTGATATTTTTCTGTATTCTCATCACTCATTTGGTTGATATTGAATTGATGTTGTAAGGAGAAATTCTGTCTTGGTCACTTATGAGAGTTGAAGGGTTAATAGCAATCTGTCAGTAAGTTTGAGAAGCAAGGACATCACAACAGTACTCTTCGTTGTAGTTTGATTAGAGCTCGATAGTCAACCAATCAATCAATCAATCAATCACTAAACTTGAATTTAACCCTTTCCACCGCAACATCAGTATGCATATTCTCCATACTGCTCTCCATACATTCCCTAAAGTGCTGACAAGGAGAATTTGTGTAACAATCAACAACTTCTTTGGCTGCTAGTACTTTTCTTTATTCTCATGACTTTACTGCATGATTCACGGGTGATATTGTAAGGAGAAATTAGATGCTAGTCACTCTTAGGGTTTAAAAGGTTAAGATGGAAATTTCACAAATGTACTGCAAAATGAAATTTTAAAAAAACCTATAGGTTATATATCTCTCTCTATATATACAAACGTTAATTTTTAGTGTTATTCGAAAAGGTAAATCAGTAAATTGTTTTAATTAATAACTTAAAATAGTGAAGGACACACAGGAGGACCACTCATAGCGTCGCTTTTTCCAGTGATCTAGATTTTTTTGTTTCTTTTCTTCTGTGAAAAAAGGTGCTGTAAGTAACCAAATTACTTTCAACAATAAGCTTGGGGGAACCTCCCCCCATCTCCCCCCCCCCCCTCTCTCCGTCGAGAGTAACAGTCTCTTGATGAATATTCTTGTCTTTATCCATTCCGGAAGTACAGTCCGTGCCCTCGCTTTCTTTAACCTTTAATCCGTAAGAGTGACAAGGTTCTAATTTCTCCTTACAATACCACCCTGGAGTAAAAGGTTTAAGTCACGAGAATAAACGAAATGATCAACAACTAACGAAGCTCTTGATGGTTTTACAAATTCTCCCTGTTAGAACGTAGGGAATGTATAGAGAACAGTATGGAGAATATACACAATGATGTTAAGGTGCAAAGGGTTAAAGATTTTAACACTTTACACTTTAACATCAGTAGGCATATTCTCCATACGTTTCACTGTATATTTCCAGTGGTACTGGAGGATTTATTTGATAACAGTCGAGAGATTTTTTTAGTTAGCCATCAGTTCTCTTAACCTTTCTTTTTGTTTAAATAGTGTTACTCTACTGAGAAATTTATTTTATTTACTTATATTGCGCGTGTTACATATACAGATGCTCACACGCGAGAACAGTATGAGTTTATTTATGGTTTAGTTCTAATTTATTAATTAGATGTTAGTTACTCGTAGAGTTTAAAATGGGCAAATTCTGTTCTTTCTTAACCTGAGGGTTTCTTGAGGTAGGTTAAAGTGTTGCCGTTTTTTGATGGCACTAGACAAAAATGATTATTTTCACGGGTCTACACAATATTTGTTTGGGTTTCATCTCTTCCTTGTACCACGTAAAGCTCTCCCGACCGTGAAATACACGGTTCCTTTTGGTCACTTCCTATCGCAGGTGCACGAATTATTTTTCACGACAGTGAAACAGCGTTTTTTAAGCTTTTAAATCTCCCGAGTTAGCCGAAAATCGCGCTGAACGGAGTAACATTTTTCCAAAAAGATTCCTCTCCTTGATGCTGATCCACAGTCTCATTTTGTTGTTTAAGTCTTTATATGGGCCATATCTGACAGAAACTAAAGCAAAACGATCTGGATTTGATTTCTATTTCTTCTGAGGCTTTACAACTGTTAACAGCTTTGATACTCAGTAATTACAAGAGCATTCATCAGGCCATCAGGCCAATATAAAATTCAGTCCAGATGCAAAGAGCAAAACCAAAAAGAGTCATTTTTCACCTGCGACGGCCCGAACAGATTAGTTAAGTTCATTGGCCCTTTTTTATCGCTTTTATAATATTTAATAAAGCTTTATTTTAGTGAACGTAGTTTGACGAAAGTATAAATCCTTTATATTAGCAGTTTTCCTATAGAAGGCTTTTCCTAATACACCTTTTAACCATTTGTCTCACACTTCGCGTTCTACATCTGCTACATTTTCATAGTTACTATACAATATGAAAGCATTGCATCAGGTACGATAGTTGATCACGACTTTAAATAAACTAGTTGTTTGTTAATGTGAAAAGTATCACTCAATGTCCTTTCCTCTAAAATTCATTTGACTCTTGAATTTTAATTTTGTAAGGGGACAACTTACATCTTCATTAATCAATCACTGATAGGTCTCTGAGCCGCTAAAACAAAAATACGTATGTAAATATTCACGTTAACAAAAGTTAATCAGGCGTCTTTTGACACAATTATGTGTGAATGAAATTTGGACTGAACTGGGTTCATTTGAACAAACTGACGTAGGTCGCTCTTAGCATGGAGTCCCACGCATAGACTAGCAATTTTGTCATTCTTGGGTAACATACAGATCACGGCGTCGAATATAATGTGCTTTAAATTTTCATGAAGACTTTTTCAGCTCGAAACCTTCTTTGCTCGATATCGCATTGTTTTCACTATCGCCATTTCAATGTGGGTGTTGAAGGAATTATTATGCCGAGTTAGGTGACAACAGAGGTATTCAACCAAGATCTTCCTCTTTGTTCGTCAAGACTGTTATGCATCAATACTCAGCTATTGTCATGGATACGGCACTTGACAGTCGCAGCTTCAGTCCGGGGGGGACTCGGAAAAGGTGACTGGTGACCTTGACGAATGCACAAGAAAGAATGTATTCAATCCTATGACGTTTAGTGTTTTGAAACAAAAACTTTCAAGAGTCACTGCCCACAGCCTGCTAGCTTTGTTTATTTATTTCCCAATATCAAGTTGAACGTCGACGTTGAAATAACACGGATATTACAATTTATTTTGGATCTCATATCACCTCGTTTTATGATTCTATTTAACTCCCACTTAATAAATAAACATAGCAATATTTCGTGCGACATGTGGACTGATTCTTCGGCGATTATTAAGTGGCATAAACATTGTTTAGTTTAGTATTCAAACACGGAAAAAATACCAAGAGACAATCAAAATACATTTAAAAAAGACACGATGAGTCTTTTGCACGCTGTAGCAGTTTGGTTGACCGGAGCAGCTGCTGTAATCGTCGGCTAAATTAGCAAACGCCAAGATTTACTTTGATAGCGTTGACGTCAAATTTTTGGATCGAATTCAACAAAATATTTGACTGCGTTGTAGCAATGTTTATTGTTTGGCATCAGTGCAATGCAAACTGAAATATTGAGACAACCTTGGGACACAATGCTTCATTAAGAAAATCTATTTGGGCAAACTAGGGGTGACATTCTGTAAATAATATGAATAAAAATGAAATTTAGTCTCAATATAAGCAGATTCAATATTCTGCGCCAGTCTTAAAGATATCTGGCATTCACCGAAAACTTGTTTGTTTTTTCGTTTCCCGCGCAGGTGTTTTGAGGAGAGTATACGTGTTCAAATGTGAAATAGGCCCAAATTGCGTGTTCTATCTTGTATTAACCTTTGTTATCTCAAAAACTAAGGAACAATTACAACAGGAAAAAAATGAATTAAGTGTCAGGCACGTAAAATTACTTGCCCCTCCCCACCCAGATGCTAACAACATCCATCTTCTTGGACCCCCCCCCCCTTTCTCTCGACGGTAACTCAGACTTCGCTTCTTGCCTGGAGGAATACTACAGCAGTCGTGTTAAGTAGTAAGGAACTCTATAATAGACCATAAAACAATCGAAGTTGAACAATTTAAGGAAGGAAATTGCATAGATTTACCCTAAACCCGCGATGGCAGAGTCGTAAGTAAATCTTTATCACGATTTGAAGTCTTAGAGAGCGTCGCAAGGAACTAATCGCGGTTTTATGATCTTTTCAGGGTGAAGGTGGCCGTTCGCGTTCGGCCTTTCAACTCGAGGTAAGTGAATCGTCTAGCCTCAGTTTCGTTTCTCTGTTTCAAACACTGATCTTCGGTTATTTTCTGCAGAGAGAAAGATCGAGGGGCAAAAGTTGTACTCGACATGATAGGAGCACTGACACAAATTACAGATCCTGATAATCCAGGTAGGGGTTTCCATCTTCGTGCTCTTGGAATGTTTACTTTTACTACCGTAGTGCAAACTTTTCGCAATGGATTTTCCAAAGGGGGTTTAAGTTCTTGAACCAACTGATTTATTTCTTGCTATTTTTTTTACTTATTCACACAGGAAACCCGCCAAAGGAGGTGAGAAACTGAATTTCGCTTTAATGTTGTTGTTCGCGCTGTCATTAGCTAACTACCGGTGCTATGGACAAAGCGCTGTTAAGTTAGGCTTGCCTTGCGCAATTCTTGTTCTGACGAAACTTTTTCCTTTTATTTTCATGATAAATCTTCTTACAGTTCACGTTTGACTTCTCGTACTGGTGAGTGTACTTTTTACTTGTTGTCATGGCGTTTACCCTTTGGAGTACTCTGTTAGGTTTTAATACACAAGCTAGCTTATATTGCTTCATCTACTGAAGTTTTTAGATGTATGCGTAATCCAAACAAACTCCTATATTCGATTAAAAGGACTAGCTGATCATTTGAAAAAAGATAAGAGCCATTTTCGCTCATTTCAGGTCTCACGATGGTTTTCACGAGGACGAAAACGGCTATCTTGTCGCAGATAATGAGAAGTACGCGACACAGCGAAAAGTTTTCGATGACTTAGGACAGGGTGTCTTAAATAACGCTTTTGCAGGTAAGCTAACCGTATCTTTTCTTTTCTCATGTTTATTATTTAAAGGAAATTTTCATGTTTGGACCACACTGTCCACTGGGAATTAATAATGAATTTTGACCTAATAAAACTTTTTAATGGCAGGGTGCTGCATGCCGTCTCGAATCAATTAAAAACTTGCATGAGTGAAATTAATTCAAAAGCTTCCGTTTCCACGTAAACATTACTTTCAGTTGATCCCCTTCCAATATTGCCCTTCATTGATGTATAAATTTCAAATGCATTGTTTCGCTGGAAGGCGGCAAAGAGGGTTTAGTTCCATGCTTTCATCTAAGTGTCTGTTCATTTAGTCGGAGAAGTTTTCAGAATAAACTCTTGTTCGTTATAAATAAATTAGCCTTAACATAACATCTTCACCTACTGAACAAGATGTTTAATTCAAATTCGGAATAATTGTTGCTAAATGGTTAGAATTTAGCGACTGATGCTTTATCTTTTATCATGGTGTGTCAATTCTAAACGAACTTAGTGATTTTAATCAATTATATAATTTGATTTTACATGCCATTAAAAGTTAATTAAAGGCAAATAACAATCATCAGACAGTCTGGTTGTCTAGAATCTGAAGTGTCTGGTTATATTTTGATCATCCCAGTAAATTGGGTTGCTAAAAGTTTTTTTTATGAAATCCAATCTTAGACTGTCATTTTTTCCTGAATCAAGGTAATCAAAAATTTAAATTTGATTAATTTAACATGCCTCTTGTTCACTGACAGGTTTCAACTGCTCACTGTTTGCCTATGGACAGACAGGTGCTGGAAAGTCATATTCCATGGTGGGATATGGAAACAATAAGTAAGTATTCAGGCTCAGTTTTATTCCAAACAGTGCATAATGCACCCACCAATTCCAGTTTCATATACACAACTAATGTTCCAGTAACATTGATTTCTGGTGTGAAGAATAATTTCTCACCAATACCACAAACAACTGAAGTGTTTGTGTCCAAGCTTAACTTTTTTGTCTAAAAATTTGGGTTTAAAATAAAGCTTGTTACCAGTCCTTTAATGCCTCAATCACTTAGGTCATAACAACCTAATCAACATCCATACAATTAGCAGATACATTCCATGCTGTGCATCATAGCAATTAAATTATAGATGATCTCTAAATGTGACTAGAAAGAGAAAGTGGCACATCAAGAGCAGCTTTTCAGAATTCCTGTTTTCTTAAGAGAATAACAAAGCTTATTTCTTTCTTTCATAAGCATTTTTCAAGCAACCCAGAATTATGGTTTTGAAGGGGTATAATTTGATTACAGGACTTGAGACAACTGGTGATGATATTGTAAGAGTAACTGAGTCAATTTTGTTTGCTCACTTTACAGAGGTATTGTTCCCATTACATGTGATGAGTTGTTTCAAGCAATGGCTAAGGGAGCTGAAGGAGTTGTAAGTTCAAGTTCTAGAGTACTTGATTAACCCTTTAACTCCCAGTTCAAATTTGTAATTCTTCTCACCATCAACCATACAATTCTTACAATGTTAGTTCAGCGAATTTAGTATTGAATCAACTAATTATCACCAAATTGATATTTTTTTTAAATTCTCATCTCTTATCTAGTTGATATTATATTGATATTGTGAGGAGAAATTCTGTCTTGGTCACTCATGGGAGTTAAAGGGTTAAGGTCTTTAATTGATGCTTAAAAACTTTTCTCAAGGAAGTAAAAATGTAGTAACTTGTTATTGGTGGCCCAGAGATGACATTCTAAAATGCCATGAATTTTGAATTATGAAAACCACTAAGCATGCATGGAACAAAGAGTTTATTGTCTCACTTTGTTGTTGTTCTCTTTGCATAGAAATACCAAGTTTCATTTAGCATGTTAGAGATTTACAATGAACAAGTGCGAGATCTTCTGGTCAAGAACAATCCCAAGGGTGGTTTGCAGGTTAGTTGGGACCTAACATCTCTAATTAAGTACTCTTGAATTAGCAATTTTCATCAGTGTTGAAAATGTGGACCCAGTTGTTCAAAGCTGGGTTAAAATAATCCAGGGTTAGTGTGAAATTGGAGTTCAGATCTGAAAGCTGATTTTACATGACCCCTGGCTTAACTCATTACACTCAAAGATCAGTATGCATATTCTCTATACTGTTCTCCATACATCTCCTGGGGAGTTGTTAACAAGAGTTTGGTTAACAATCAAAATATTCTTTCTAGAGTAATAATTTCCTTTAATTTTGTGACCTTAAAGTGTGATTCAGGGGTGATATTTGGAGAAGAAACTAGATACTAGTCACTCTTAGGGATCAGGGGGTTAAGGAAGATTACTTAATGTGATGTGAACGTACTGCAGTACTTAACAACACTTACAAGTGCTCCAACAAATTATTGATCTTTTCTGTTGTGTGCAAATCATGGAGCACATAAACTTTTTTGATGACCTTAAACCTAAGCTTTTTACCAACTGATTTTATTTCTCAAAGGTTCGTCAAAACCCTAAAGAAGGAAACTTCTTTGTTCAAAATCTTAAGAGAGTGGCTGTTGTGGATTATGCAGATATTGAACGCAGAATTGAAGAAGGTGAATTTGAAATACAAAATATAGTTTAAAAAAGTCAGAAAAATAGTTAGTAAGCTCTTTTACTGGATGCTACATCATTTGTTCTTCTAAGGGGGTTCAAGTTAATCTGTCATCATTTTAAGATAAGAAAAGTCCCTTTAAGTGATAAGTATGTCTATTCTGTTCACTTGCTTGCAGGATAATGCATTGAAATGATAAGGGTTAGTTAAATTTTTATCACCTCATGGAGTCAGAATGTAATCTGAAGCATATAGCATAAGGCAATAATAGATTATGCTGTCTTGTTTTGCCAAACAGATTTCTTGTGTGTGGTGGGATTAGATTGAAAAGATTGTTGACACATGTAATGTTGTTGTAATGGCTTTTTAAATAAAAATAATGCGCAAGCCCTGAAATATTTGTATTGGATGGGAATTTTTTACTCAGAAAATATTGTACAGGAAAAATGGCTTCAGTTGTGGTTATATTCCCCTCTAATATTTGTCCACCATTATTCCAACATTTGCCTTGTGTCTTGTGGAACTTGTAAAGGAGATTCTTTCAAGTGTAACCATTTATTTATTAACTAGAGCCTGGTTTTCAATCACAAGCACATATACAAACACAAGCACTACAACTTGTATTAATTTTATTGAAAGGGCCTCAACACAAGCATAAACACAAGCGCAAGTGTGAGCACAAGGATCAAAATTTTTCCCTTTTCTTGTGCTTGTGCTTGTTGAGATTCATTTTGGCATAATTACCTTATGCAGGCATTTGTTCTTGCACTTGTGCTTGCGTCTCTGGTGAAAACCAGGCTTAAGGGATTGACAAGTTGTTTCCTTTGAATTTCAGGTACTGCTAATCGCACAGTAGCAGCTACACAGATGAATGCCACAAGTTCCCGTGCTCACACAGTGGTAACCATCATATTTGATCAGATCAGCAAGAATGAGTCAGGACAGGAAACAAAGAAGAGTAGTAACATAAACTTGGTTGATTTGGCAGGTTGGTGTAGTTTTTTTGTGACTTAGATCTTACAGGCATATACAGTGGTCCATTTTAGTAATGAGGGATCAGAGGTATAGCTAGTCAGGGTTCTCAACGATCAAGTCAGTTAGTAGACCGCTAGCTGTGGGAAGTAGACAGCTGATTATTCAAGAGCTCCTTCCTGGGGTGTAGGGGCATGCTCACTCCCATGATTTTATTTTTTAAAAGTACAAATTATATGCTCTGAAATGTAGTTTTTTTGTATTCCTTTGGAGGGATATGCAAAGCAATAAGGCCATTGGTAGGCTATGTTTAACCTTTGGTGGAGAGATGAAGTGCATGTGATACTTATCTTAATGGAGAACACAACAAAACTTTTGACTCTGAAGGAGGTCAAATCTGCATCATTCAATCCATAGTCCAACACACAAACTATATGGCAACCACATCCTCCATGGATTTCTAAAAGCTATCATGATCAGTAATATATTAAGACCACATTCCATAGACCTGAGCTTTGAGCCCTAATTGAACCTGGGGCATTGCCTACTTTGCTTCATAAGCTGGGTCAATTTGAACAAATATTTTCCCTCGTAGGCAACTTCTTGGCAGTTGTGTTCTTGATATCCTAACCTACCCATCACCAACATGATTTTTCTTTTTGTTTCAGTTAAGGAATAACCCTTGCCTAGAAGAGTAACCTTGTAACATCAAGTTAGACTGTAGTCTTAAAATGTACCAAATGAGCTTCACTGTTCATCAGTTTATGACCATTTTGCTTTCCATGCATTAACCAGGTAGTGAAAGAGCTGATAGCACTGGTGCTACTGGTGACAGACTCAAAGAAGGAGCCAACATCAACAAATCCCTTTCAGCCCTGGGTAATGTGATCTCAGCCTTGGCTGACTTGTCCATGGGTAAAAAGAAAGTGTTGGTGCCATATCGAGACTCTGTTCTGACCAAACTGCTTCAGAATGCTTTGGGTGGCAACAGTAAAACCATCATGATTGCTGCTTTGTCTCCAGCTGATATCAACTATGATGAAACACTGAGTACTTTGAGGTATGTTCTCCAAACTTTATATTAAGAATTTTATGGTATAGTTGGAAAAGTTGAATACAAACAGATGAACAAACTAACCAAAGACTGAATAGAAGAAACATGGATGAACAGACCAATATCTAAAAGTTCAGATGACAGAAGAGAGTTGATGGGCAAAATCCAGACTTGGAAAAACCAAAGAATTATTACATCTATCATTACATTTCTTTTCAAACAATATGATTAAACACAAGTATGTCTAAATAGCTATCTTTTAATAACAACCTCAAATACATTTTATCTTACAGATATGCAGATCGTGCCAAAAAGATCAAGAACAAAGCAGTGGTTAATGAAAATCCAATGGACAAGCTCATCCGGGAATTGCGGGAAGAAAATGAAAAGCTTAAGAAGATGTTTGAAGGTGGAGGACTGCCTGATCTTGGTGCTGGAGCTGCAGTGATGAGTATGTGATGTGATCTCTTAAAGAAAATGGCAATATTGTAACATTTTATTTTACTTATTGCACATTTTTCATGCATGACGTTTAGTAGAGAATGATCCAAAACAGAAAAGTCCTTGATAGAATGATCATTACATCAAATTCTTTTGGAAACAATCCCTCAGTCTTTTCATCAGGTCATTGGGAATGCCTAATTTGTCCTGAAAAGATCCGTTGAGGTCATCGTGGATTTTAAAGGTTTGAAGGAGGTCAAAACTTGTAAATTTGAAGTATGTGACCTTTCTATGTTTTAGTATCACCCCTAAATCACATGTGAAGGTCACGAGATTAAGCAAAAGGATCACCAATTGAAGAAGCTCTTGATTTTCTGTAATAAAATCTCCTTATCAGCAACTTAAGAAATGTATGGAGAACAGTATGGGGAATATACATACAGGTGTTAAGAGTAAAGGGTTAATAATGATAAACATTCATCATTGGTGTTCTTCAGCTGAAGCTGAGAAAGAGGAAATGCGGCGGAAGATGAAAGAAGAACTCCTTGCACAGATGGAATTTAACCAACAGAACATGATGAGCTGGGATGAAAAGGTAAAATCTGGTTTGCATGTGAACATGTGTTCTCCATGCTTGCCTTAGCCTTTTTAATCCCATAAGTGACCAGGACAGAATTTCTCCTTATAATATCAATACAATATCAAGCAGACAAGTGATGAGAATAAAGAAAAATATCAAAAGAATGAGGGGATTATAAGTTGATCCAATAGCAAATTCTCCCTACCTACATCACAAGAAGTGTATGGTAGACAGTAAGGAGAATAACTAGAGAGATCTTAAGAGTTAAAGGGTTAATTCTTGAATTCCTCAAGTCCATTTAGCCTAGCTGTTAATTTTCAAGATTGAGGTGTCAATCTTCCCATCTTCTGCCACCTTCCTCTCTCTCTCTTTTCTGTTCTCTCTTGCTTCCCCTCCTTATTCATCTCTTGAACCTGTCACAAGTCCCACAAGGTCTCCTTCTCTTGAATGGTGCAAATTTTTAAAACACCCACACTTTTTGATGACTTTGGGACTCAGATAGGTGTCCAGTGGGCCAAATTCCGCAGTTTTAACCACTCAAACTTGTTTGCATTTGTGTCTTAACAGGTCCAGATGTCTCAAAGTGATTCATCAGCGGGAGAACAAAGTGAAAAACAGAAGAAGACAAAGAGTGTGCCACATTTGATTAACTTAAATGAGGACCCCATGTTGTCTAGAGTCATCTTTCATTTTCTGGAACAGGGTAAGTGTTGTGTGCATTCCACAGTCAAACCTTTACCTGTTTTAAGCAATCTGTTGTCAGAGTCCCCAATTTTTTTCCCTGTTATTTTCACCTCTATTTAGCAGTCACCTCTATAAAGTGGTTGTGGTCACCCTTGACTGAGTCCCAATGGTCTGTTTGTATTATCTTCCTCCTGTATTGAATGGTCACCTTAAGTAGAACCCCTCAGTGACTGTGGCTTTCTGCACATTGACCAAGCTTTAAAACCTAGACCTTGTTGGTCCTTTTCTTCTGAGCCATTTACCTTAAACACCTTCATATTTAAATATTTAAAGCTATGTAACTTATATTTTGTTGGCCAGACTGGAGACTTCTGGTTCAAACCCCACCCCAGCCGGACAAAATTCTAATTCCTCACACCTCTCTCTCTCTCTCTCTCTCTCTCTCTCTCCCCCCCCCCCCCCCCCCCCCCCGACATGGATGAACGTCCAGGGGTTGCTGAAAGGGGGGATTGAAGCTTTGAAACTGACAGGTGTATTATCAGGTAGAAGTTGTTATCTTGATCTAACACCAAATTCTCATAACTAATTACAAGGAAATGTGTTGCAGCTAGAGTGGAGAATTAACAACCAGATCTTGGCAGTTAACAGATTAAAGTGAAAAATGTAATTCATTTTTGCTTTTATTTTTATTTTTATTTTTTTTGTAGCGGAAACTAGGATAGGAAGGAAAGATGCTGATCCTGTACCAAATGTCCCTCTTTCTGGCCTGAGGTAATTTTTTAGATGCTTAGCCTTTTACACACACACATCAGTATTCATAATTATTCTCCATACTGTTCCCTGTACATTTACAAGGGCACTGACAAGAGTTCTTTAGTTGGTGATCATTTTCTTTATTCTCATGACCTTAATGTGTGATTAAGGGGTGATAATGTAAGGGGAAATTGTATGCTTGTCACTCTTACGGGTCAAAGAGTTAAGTCCACAATGTAGCCTGCATGCAAGCCCTCATTGTAAGTGCTGCAGGACACGTGATTTTTGCCCACAAGAAGATTTAAGCCAAGTTAGGGAGAGGTTTTCCAGGCTCTGGCACCCTCATTATCAGTGCCAGAGCCTCTGCAGACCTCTGACCAGCTGGTATTGCCTAAGGCCTTATTCTCCCCTGCAGGCAAAGAAACACTCATGTTCAAAAGCTTTACATTGTTAAATTGAAACTTAGAAATTTTTATGTATATCTTTAAACTAGTTTTGTAGGGGGCGTTGAATTCTCTAAAAAGTGTAGAAATATGAAAGCTGGCTTTCAGATTGATAAATAGTTGTGATCACAGATGAAATCTAAACGGTGTGAAAAAAGCATGGGAATTCTTTTTCCTTATTCAATCAGTGCATTATTGCTGAATGCATTGAAATGATTACAAAGTTTTGAGGGAAAACAGAACTTCAATTGATGATTGGCTTTGTCTTTTGAGTCACAGTTTTCATTGTGTGAGGCCCCTTTTGCCCCTTCTTTGACCCTTTGACCCCTAAGAGTGATTAGCATTTAAATTCTCCTCACAATATCACCCCTAAATCAAACATGAAGGTTATGAGAATAGACGAGGTGATCATTCACTAAAGCAGCTCATTGTAAAACAAATTCTCTTTGTCAGCAGCTTAGGTAATGTATAGTGAATAGTATGGAGAATATGGATACTGATCTTAGGGGGCAAAGGGTTTAGAAATTAAGATTTTAGAGCTGCACTCCTGCTATCACAATTTAACAACTGCATTGCAAAATGGAGGTTGGGTGCCTGAAACATTCAGGAGCTTCCACTATTGGCAGCCAGCTCCTAGATGGAGACTTCTCCTATGGCTAGTAAATCATGGCACTCAGCCATGGGGCCCCATACAGGAAAGGGACACAGGTACCCGTCACACTGAATAAACAGTGGAAAGAGGGAGGGAAAGGGTGGAGAAAACTGTCTGGAAAATTAGCTGCCACTCCTCACAGTGCTGCAAGTTCACACTCAAAGCGCACACCGGAACGCCTCAAACGACTAGCACATGGAATTCCGATGCATGCGCATAACCAAAAAAAAGTTGACTATCAGAGAACGCTGATGCTCGTTGTTGTTGTTAACTCCATTAAATTGCATTTAACTGCATTTAAAAGGGAGCTCTCCATTGAAACCCTGGTGATTCATTAGAATTTCTGTTGTTATTTTACAGTATTTTGAAACAACATGCCTTGGTAAAGTCTGTGAATGGGGAAATCACCATTGAGCCTGCATCGCCTGGGGCAAAGACAAAAGTAAATGGAATGCCACTCACTGGAGAGCGTGTTCTCAAACATCATGACAGAATCTTGTTTGGTGAGTTTTTCTTTTCCCATTTTTATAAATACAATTTTACACATCGTTAGCTATACTATTCACAAAATGTAATCACCTGCAGTATGTCAACTGAAAGATTACTTAAGTATTTAATGTATGTGCATGATTTTTCTTGCTTTTATGTGTACTTTCTATACTTACACACAATTGTTAGTTACTTTTATACACGCATTTTGAAAGGTTCTTACTTATGATTTATAGAAGGACAGATGCATAGAGGACTTAACCATTAACAACATTTTGCTTTTTTATTATACTATTGCAAATAAATTCCATGTTGCTGTGGGTCTGTACAATAATAGATCACATCAGATGTCTAAATGCGATAAGAACATCGGTGACACACTCGCCTGCGCCTTAAGTGCCTGGTTTTTGTTCTTATCACATTATGATATCATCTGGGATCTATTACTGAACAGACGTATGGCAGCATGAAATCTATTTGTTAAACCGATACATTGCTAAAAATATCTAAACATAAGTTACAGTATGGCTGTCTACAAGATTCACTATAACTTTCAACACTGACATTGCTCAATCAGCAGTTAACATGAGTAACCTGCTTGGTAGATAAATTATCTGTTTACTTGGCAGGTTCGAACCATATGTATTTCCTGGTAAACCCAACCAACCCTGAGAAAAGTGAGGGAACTCCAGACAACGTGGACTGGGAGTTTGCTCAGAAAGAGATTGCTCAGGCTAAGGGTTTTGCCACTGGGTTTGGAAGTGGACTTTCCAAAGGTAATTTTTTAAAATGTTGAGTCCAATTTAAACTGTGTAAGTGATGGTAAATTAAATAAAGACAAATTACGTTGTTAGTGTGATAAGGTGGTTAGAATGCCACAGTGTGGTTCTTTATCTGCTGCTTCGCGGTTGAATTGGAATCAAACATTGACCCTTTCACCGCTCAGTAAGTGACTAGCGTCTAATCTCTTCTTATAATATCACCCCTGAATCGCACATTAAAATCACTAGAATCAAGAAAATGAGCACCAACCAAAGAAGCTCCTGATTGTGAAACAAATTCTCCTTCTCAGCACCTTAGGAAATGTTTAGAGAACAGTATGGAGAATATGCATACTGATGCTTGGGCGTAAAGGGTTAAGATCATGACAAGGAAGGAAAGGAGTGCCAAATCAAGAGGCTTTTAATTGTTAATTAAACACATGACTCAATCTGGGGGCGAACTCGACTTGGTGGGGTCGAACTCGAAAAGTGTGGGGGCGAACACGGTATAAGGTAGGGGCGAACTCGAAGGGGCGAACTCGAAGGGGCGAACTCGATAGGGGGCGAAAGCGGCGGATACCATTCTACTAATGAGTTCTATAGCAAATGAATAAGGAGCAGTACGGAGAACATGAGTACTGATGTTAAGTTGAGTTGTGAGTTAACTGTGGTGATGCAATGATTAGATCAACAGCGAGCTCAGGAACAAGTGCTAGAAGCGCTTCCCTTGGTCAGTGAGGTGAACGCCATGAGTGAAGAACTCAACAAGCACAAGTATGTCTTACTCGGACAAACATCTCCGAGAAAATGTCTTAAGTAAAAAATTCCTCCATTTTGGAAACTCCCCAGTTATTTTTTTTTAGGATAAGTTATTGTTGCTATGGTTATTGTGATCAATTCTGTGATTGGTGGATTTAGCTGAGTGGACTTAGCATGATTGGCTGCTTCAACTGTCCGATCACGCTGTCACATTACAACTGTACAGTATGATTTGTGTAAATGAAAGTCATTAATACACCGATCACATTTGAGGAAATTGTAATGGTTATGATCAACTATAAAACTGAAGGATTGACTGACTGACTGATTGTTCCATGGGCTCAAAGAGTGGATGAGCGGTTAACTGTTGAAAACAACTCCCTGTAAAAAGCTGTCGGCCTTCTGAGGGCCAACAGTCGGCTGACAGCCGGCAGTCAGGGCAAACAACTCACTGAGATAAGGACTGAACGGACAATTGATTGTTTGATTGATTAATTGATTGATTTATTGATCGATTGATTGATTGATTGATTGGTTGATTGGTTCCCAGGACATTTGAAGTTATCCTAATATCAGGTGCAGCTCAGGGAGGTGATTCAGAAACAAAGTAAGTTCCATCATTGCTAGGCTTGTTTGGCAAAACGCACGTTACCTGGTGCCATGCAATGCGCCTTAACGTGACTAAATGGCACGAAACTCATTCCCTAGCTACTTGAATAAAGGGGAAATTCTACGGAGGTAATGAGGAAGTGAACAGTCATGTGATTGATAATCCAGTGCGGTACACTGGATTCACAGATTTTTCATGGGAAGAAATACGCGGTGATTAATGGAGAGAAGTGGTATGAGGCTGTGGTATGAGGCTGGTTAAAGAAGTGTAATTGGTGAGATTCGTATACAAAGACAAAAATTTGCTCACATTCCTCAATCGGTGCTAATCTTGATAACTCGAGGATGAACCGTTATTTATTTCATAATGGTAATTGAACTGAGTGAAGCGCAATTAGGTCTGAAATCATACGCATGATTTTAAAATTGAACGAGCGCGCAGTGCAAGTTTGATTTTAAATCACAAGTATGATTTTTCACGCTAAAATTGCGCGACGCGAAGTTCAATTACCATTTTATTACATCTGTTTTGAAATTGCAGTATTCAGTCGCTCAAATACAGGTTTTTTTAGTCTGTACAAATATATTATTGATCCAGTATTGAGTTGGTTTGTTAAAAGTCGCAAAAGTTGTCTTTAATTCCCTTGCCATTTGAGTGGTTTCTTTAAAAAAAGCCTTTAGATCCAATTGGTTGTTGTGTTTTAGGAAAGCTGTCACTTTGGCTGGGGAAAAGATGCAATTTAGAGCATAGAAAGATTCGATTTGTAACTAAACCGCACCAGTGAGAGCCACTCAGATCGCAGTGATTTGAAAATGGATGTGATAAAAGTAATGATCTGTCGGTAAAGAATCGGTCGAAAGTCCACCAATGGTCGGCCGACCCCTTGAGTGAGAAGCATCGGAACATCGATCGAGTGTTCTTCGGCCATTGGCTCACTATCGGCCGACTACCTTCCGACTATTGACGGACTATTGACCTACTATCGATCGGCTATCGAGTAACTTTAGTCGGACATCCATTCGTGGCTTCCTCCAGTACACCTGATTCGATTAGCCTAGACTTATCAGAAACACCAACGCAGTAATTCGTTTGTCTGCGCTTGAACGCTAGATTTAGCAGGTTAACCCAACAATTATCTTATTTAAATATTTTTCTAGAGTCATGGTGAGAATGAGGAACTTACTTAATGGTAATGTGTGGCTATGGGATCGTGGAAAGTTCATGAACAGGCGGTTCGTGATGCAGGTAAGAACTAACTATGGCTTAACACGTATGTACGCATATTCTCCATACGGTTTTCTGTACATTCCTCAAGGCGATGAAAAGGAGAATTTGTTTAACAATCAAGAGCTTTTTTAGTTGGTGATCATTTCCTTTATTCTCATGACCTAAATGTTTGATTCAGAAGTGATATTGTTAAGAGAAATTAGATACTTGTCACTCTTTGGGGTTAATGGGTATATACATAAAGAACGGACAAAGGGAATTTGAGTTCTTGGGAGTTTTCTAACGCCACTCAGTTGTGATTTTGAGAACGAAATCTCTACCTCCTTTACTCTAACAGACATGTCCTTAAATTAGCGATTTAAGCAGTTTAGTAGGATGTTGTGCGACCTGCATATAACTTGGATTTTATTAGCAACGTCGCAACTTTTCCTAAATCTCTCTTCGACCGTTTTCCTTTTGTAAGGGCATTTCTGTTGTACTCTATTTAAATATGACTTAAATGATCATTTCCCCTTGTTTATTCAGGAACACTATCAACGATCTATTGATGGGGAAGATATGAGTAAAATCCCGAAAGAGGAAGATCCTTTCTGGGAACCTCCTGAAGATGTGCGGATTGGAACGGCAAGCGTGTTCCTACAGAGTCTCAGCTATGAGTTGGACTTCGACGATAAGCTCTCTATCACAGATTACAAGGTTTGTACGTAAATAATGATGTTGAACAATTGTTACAAGCGTTAGACAAGGAAAACCATCAGTCCCTTAGGAGATTTCGAACCTCAGGAAACACAGCAGTCAACGGTGTGGTATACACTAAGCGCATGTATTTACATGTACCACCAAACTTTTTTGTTTTATTTTTTGTTGTGCCAAAGTCATTGAATCGTAGCGCGTGTTTTCCATTATTGAATACATATTTTGTCTTTCTTTCCCCTTTCTGTCTGCAGGGCGAAGAAGTGGCGACCACTGTCATCAACGTGTCTCCTTGTGATCCTAATGGCAAACCTTTAAAGGAAGACGTTTTTGTTGAAGATCCCTCTGAGCTTCTTGGAAAACCATATCACTTCAAGGTATGAGGCAGCGGTGGGAATTTTTTTACCTTCAACCAGAGTAGCTTGGGCTTATTACACACAGTCTTTCAGCGTGTTTTAGCGCTGATCTTGTGGACTTAGATTTCAATAAAATTTCACAATGGTGGATTATTTAATTTGCTCACAGGAGTCACTAGCGTCCGAATTCTCTTTACAATTTCGCTACACCTCCAAGCAGCCAATGCAACATTAAGGGAGAAAATTGGCCATTTGAGGGATATTTGTCCCTTTATAACGCCAAATTCTCAGTACCAACCGATACAAAAAGTGTACGGTCATCTTTTAAAATATATAACTTCAACTTTTGAAGGAAGAGGAGTTTAAAAATTTAGAGGAACTGAACAGGAACAAGAAAGAAAAAAGAGGAGAATAAAAACTTGAATCAAAAAAAATTTTATAAAAGTTCTTCACCTCAGTTTGTCTCCTAAAGAATTGCCTTGAAGGTATTTATTGCCACCATTGCTTTGACTGTCAATTTATTATAAATGTACTCGCTCTGCAATTTTTTTGTTGGTTTCGTTCTTACATTTTGATATTGGTTATGTTTTTATGTCTGGACAACGTGACAGAACTGATTCTTACGGTAACTTTAGGCGATCTTTTTTTTCTCGCCAAGCAATAATCGCGTTTGTTGTTATGCAGGTCTCCATTCGTAATGTTAGCGTGCACGACAGCAGATTTAACAAGGGGCTTTACCTCAGGTACAAACCGTTTAAAGAAACAGAATATACCGTGACTAAAACAGTGAGAGACACGCTATCACCCGAGTTTGATGAAAAGGATTCGAAAGTGTTCAGTTTTGACTCGGTGAAACAAGACCTGTTGGACTGGTTTGACACAGGCTGCATCACCTTTGAACTCTTTGGTCGCCAGGAGGACAGTGATCCTGATTCCACTCGAACGAGAATGACAACAAAGGTAATTAAAGTTTGGGACTTTTGTGACCAGTTTAAAATTATCTCGGCTTCCGTGGTATGAAGCGACCGGCAGTTTTTCTGCTCCACCTGAATGGTTTTTAAGGCCATCGGAGGTTACCCCTTAGTATTTTCGTCAAGTCTTCTTGACTAGCTCGCAAGCAGGCCTTCATCTTCAGCGCTACAGGACGCGAGTTTCGCCGTCCGCGGGAAAATTTGAGACGAGTCAGGGAGAGGTTTGGCGGGGATCTGGCGCTTATTGTCAGTTCCAGGCCACTTGTAGAGCTCTCGTCGGTTCGCGTTGCTCAAAGCCTCCTACTTTCTTGCGGACGAAGAAACGCTTGGACCGAAGTGCAAATATTGAGGACCTGCTCGCAAGGTACCTCTTGACCCTTTAACTCCCAAGATTTCATTATTAATTCTCTTTACTGTCTGCCATACAACTCACGGGATGTTAGTTTGGAGAATTTGGAATTGGGTCAACCAATAATCCCCTAATTGATATTTTTCTTTATTCTCATTACTTGTCAGCTTGATATCGTACTGATAGTGTAAGGAGAAATTCGGTCCAGGTCACTAGTGGGACTTAAAGGGCTAACAGCCGGGATTCCTGGTTAGAGAGACAATTTGAGAGTGAAGCATGCAAACATTCATAAGATGGACAAAAAAGTTTCAAGGTTACAAGAGGGATTTTTTTTTTAAATTTTTTGATAGGAATTGCGCCAAATGGAAATGCAAATGGCGAGGCCAGGTATGGGAGGTCGTTCCACCACCATGATTGGAAATGACATCGCTCCCGCTCAGCTGAAAGCAGAGCATATTCTGCTCAAGAGGAAAAACCAACTACTGCTCAAGAAGGAAAAGCGCATTCAGGTAAATGAAGTGTGGTAATACCCGCACGTGTGCGAGGATTCAGCTTGGAGAATACTAAGGGAAGATTATTATTTATCACCTGCGGAGGGGGAAGGGGGGAGGGGGGTGGCAGTTTGATGAATTTGGTCGTGTCACAACAAAAATTTTTCCTGATCCCCCTAAGGCTCTTTAGTACTCTAATAATTGATCCCCTCTCCGTTCCGCTTGAAATCCATTTGATCCCCAAAAATCCTACGCCCCCTCCCAACTAACGGCTGGTTCTTAAGCTACAACGTAATGCAACATGAAAAAAAAAGCCTTTCAAAACGAAAATTACCAGCGGCAAGCGTGAAAGTGTATTTTACTTACGCCGAGCACGTGTTAAACTCGTTTTGAGCCTGTTTCCGATGCGTACTGAACATATGTGTGACCGCCGTTGGGCGCATGTGGAGCCCTGTATCAACGTGTATCGAGCGGTTGCTGAGCTCGTGTCAAACCCGCGTTCGGTGCGCAAGACAGATAAATGATTTTCAGTGTACAGTTCAATAAATTACTCACTTGCTTAATTAATGACAGGATCTGTGCACCGAATGGGCCAATAAACCGAAGGAAGAACAGACATTTGAAGGTTTTCATCGCGCGGTGTCCGCGGCAGCTGCTCACCAGTACGGCCGCACTAAGTACAAAGTCAACACGCTGATGGTGGTAAGTGAATTAGATGACGTCTGGAAGTAATACTTCTAACCAACTAGGACGGATCTCAGAAGCTCTCCTACATTCTTCGCGGTGTCCTGTCCTTCCACCTTGAAATAAAACTCTTTCATTTTTAAGAATTCTCATTTAGTGTTGGTGAAATAAATTCGAAATACCTCTTCTTCGATCAGTCGCATTGAACTGTCAAAGCTATCAATATCGTTTTCTAAAGCTAAATCTCACTGATAGAGTTGAGATGTACCCAAATTGTGTTTTATCCATCATCTGAGTTACGATATCTAAATTCTCGATTTCAAATCTCCAGTCTGGAACTGAAATTTACTTAATTGACCCCCCGCCCATCATCCTTTACTTCATCTTCTCCTTACAACAACGTCCGTACTATTTGGTAGATGTATATGTATTCGCATATTTTGTTTAAATTTTCAGATGCTTAAAAATCAAAACGGTGCTACGGCAAACGGTGGAGTCATCAAACAAGACCCCAAGGTCACTGAAGGAAGTCGCGCCTGCACAATCATGTGATTTCCACCCTCTTTTATTGGCAATCCTGGTAGTACTGATGTAGTGAGATGTAATTAGAATCCTAAAGTTTTTAGCGAAATAACTTGTACAACTGAGCCAGACAAAATTACGGGAAACTTGAGAATCTTTTGTTAAACTGTGGCCTTGCTGGACGAGCCCTGAAAGACGAAAATTTGCCGACGCAAAGTAGTGTTCCACAGCTAATTTATTAGCAGTACTTGGCAATGTACTGATTGTTAAGTTCACGAACTGTTGGTAAAAACAACTGACCTTACTCCACCCCCCACCCCCTCCCCCCCCTTCCCCCATTGTGATCGATTTAACGCATTTAACGATTCGTTTGCACGTTTTACTGAACCCCATGAATGAAAGGCGGAAAGTTTCTCCTTACATTTGCTTCTCTATTTCAACCAGACAAGTGTTGATAATAGATAGTTAGCAACTTTGGAATATATTGTACAAGGTGCCACAAGACACTCCGGGGAAAAATATTGTTTAACGTTGTGATAGGAGAATTTGAAGGTAGATCATTTGTGAGACTGTGAAGGTTATGCGATGTCGTTCTTGGGTAGCGTAAAAACCATTAGTGTTGATTAGCAAAAAAAAATATTTAATACATTGATCAACTAAACACTAAGGTATTTGAAAGTGGAGAAAATATATTTTTATAAAATTTGGTTGATCCAAGAAAGGGAAGCAAGTTTTCTTTTATCGCCAGGGCTTCTTTCTTCATTTTTTGTCTTGTGAATTATTGATTCGATGTCAACAAGATCCGTTAGATTCGTAGTTGGTAATATTTATTGCACCTTTTGTACAGATGTGATGTTTTTTTTGTAGTCTTAATCTTTTTTAATAAAATGAACACCTGTCAATTATTGTTGACAGAGTGGAGAGGAAAATTTGCCTTACAGTTGTTTCAGGGGGAAGACACAATCAGATAAAGGAATCAGGAAAACTGTAGCTTTGGAGCAGGCCTTTGTTATTAGCGCTTCGGCACGAGGGTTCCTTTGTTACAAGGTTTGCTTCAGAACGAAGGCTCCTTCGGCACGAGGTTTCCTTCATCTCGAGGGCTCCTTCGGCACAAGGGTTCCTCCGCCCTCGTGAAAGTATCGTGATGATTCGATTTAGCACCCTGGGAACCTATTTAATTTTGGTACCTCAAGGGATGACGCTTATTCGAAACGGGCGCTTATTTTTATTTTGAGAAACAGAAGAATGTGCGAAAGAAAGCTTTGAGACGAGATCTTTCGTTTAAAGGATTTGTGCACTTATGGCGACATAATACTAGAGAGACTGAGACGATGACCACCATATTGTCGTGTGGCCTAAAGTGAGCAACTAAAGTAAGATAGACCACGGTTGATCTTCATGTTCATGTACTTTTTCAGTCCTATTTCTGAAACAAAAATAAGGGCGTTTATTGGAATAGGGGCGCTTATTGATATAGGGGCACTTGTTGGAATGAGGATGCATACTCATTAGGGGCGCTTATTATCATGAACAAAAACCGATTCAAGAAGGGCACTTATAAGAAGGAGAGTGCTAATCGAAACATTACTAGGGAGGCCATGAAGAACGCAAGTCGACGAGAAGTCTGCTTAGGGGTCTGGTACTGATGGTGAGCGCCAGACCCCTGGCAAACTTCGTCTTAAATCCCCCCGGGGAAGGACAAACACTTGTCTTGTAGTACGAAGAATAATAGGGCCTGCCTGCAGACTATGAAAACTACCTACTGATGGCGTATCAAAAAGAGGGTCTATGAAGGCTATATTATCGTGCTTAGGTTATATGGGTCAGCGATGTCATGTTACACACACCGGAAAAACACCATCGTGAAAGCCAAGCTTCTGGTATATCACTTGCTAAGGCATCACTTGTATAATACGCGGACTCCATTCTGTAATGTGATTGATATCTGGAGCGGATCTTGCTCTTCCTGTCCTGTGATAGCTGCAATGCAAAGAATAAGATTTTGAGAGATCTTCTAGGGTCTTTTTGAGGCCGAGGATGTTTTCTGATTGATCGTTCGGTGTGGAGTTACAAAAGAGAAGATTGTCTCGTAGTAAAAATAGAGTTATTTTATAGAACAACGGCTTTTAGCTTTGATTGTCGAAAGTAGTTCGTGTTTGTTAGGTGTCTGTTCACTTTTGTGATTGGTTTAAAAAATCTCGTGCGACTTCCTGAATTAGATTCAAACTCAGCTAATCGCGATTTTATTCACTCGCCATCTTTGGTGCTGGAGACAGCTGGCGTTTACTTTGAGCTCTCATTGGTCCCTTGTGATATTTTCCGCTGTTCTGATTAGCAGTTGTAATTTCGTCAGTTCCCTTTTACGAACTTTCATCGAGAAATCCCGAAAAAAAAAGCACTCTTTTTTTCGTTTTGAGGCGGGAGGGCCACTGTCCACCGTAACGTGTCGAATTGGACTAAATCAATACTCACCCTGTGACGTCTTCAACATCTTCAGGGATTTCCAGTTTAGATGCCTTTTTGTCCTTAAATTTGCCAGTAACGTTTCTGCAGATCTTGACAAAGGACGCCTAGAAATCGGAAGAGGAATCGAGAAATTCATTTCAGTTTCTGTTCTTAATTAGAAAGTTATAAATATAACGATGCCGGATTAATTGGAATAGTGATAAAGTTCGCGTTAATTGGTTCTACTGGTAATAAGGGTTACTGTCTTGCGAAGAAACACAACACACAGATCCAGGCCGGGGCTTGAAACCGGACTATTCGATGCATTAACCACCACGCAAAATTTGTTCGTGAAGAACAAAATTTAGCCTTTCCGATTCCTCCCTTCAATTCATAGCCGCTTCTTCGAGTTGCATCAAGTTTAAGTTTAGTATGAGGATAAACAGGGATTGCTGAGGTGTTACTTTACCTAGCTATGTGGTCGGTCGAGCAAACTCGTGCAATTTCTTAACCAATCAGACTCAAAATTGAGCCATGCACCTGCGACTTGGTCACTTTTGATTTCCCGCGCTTGAAGCAGTTTGCTCATCGGCCGCTAAAAGCTTTTTCCCCTTCATCTGATTGGCTGTTGTGATTAGTTTGGTTTTGGTCTAACGAAACTCATGTAAACTAAAAGCCCTCGAGCTGTTTAAGGGAGCTCAACACTTTGCAAAGAGTTAAGGCGGGAAATCTTGTGTGCTTCCCCGTGTACTCTCTAAACACACACGTTACCGATCTTGCCGCTTTCTTTCGTGGTGTTGGGGGAGATAATGTTCCCGGTTCCTCGTCCAGTTTGTCCAGACCTGTTCCAAGTGAATTGCTTAGTACTTTCATCTGTAAGAATATGGAGCCGATATTTTGAAGTCCTTTGTTCAGGGGTTCGCCAGATGATACCAAAACTGCAATGGCAGGAAGAGAAAATCCTGGTTTAGCTGGTCTACAGTTATATTTCGGATTAGTTTTTAGAATTTTTTTGCCACTTCAGAAAATGCTAGACGGTCGATCCCTGCCACGTCAGACTGAGTCAATATGTCGATTAATCGGACGTCAGTTACTCTATTTATTCCAAGAGAGAACGTGATGGGACTGGAAACAAGCAACTGAAGACTGGTAACAAGCTTAATTAACCTATACCCAACCCATCACCGACATCCTTGACGATAGTAATTTTTCGTTGGTAAGAACCGGCCGACACAAAAATCTCACACGCGTCGTACAAATAATGATAAAGAAAAACGCTCCCGAATCTCCGGTTTTTTCTGATAATTCCAGACGATCGGGAATATCTACGATTTATATTTCCATCACTCAGCAAACCCTGTAACGGTCGGTAACTGACTAGTCACGGTTACGCAGAAGAACGCTAATTTGATTTTCGCCCTCTTTTCGCTTAGGTTCTTATATGCAAGTCATAATCTTCACACCAACCTGACGGTGCCAATGTCTTTCCAAGTTTTTCTGAAAGAATGAAATAACATAAATACTTAACTAGTAGCACTAAGGGGTTTATAACATCAAAGCCTGTTTAGAAACAAGCGCATGTTAGCAAGATGCCACTCGTTAAATTACCGCCAGCACTTCTTAAGAGAGCGCACAGCGCAAAATTTCACGTGGTGAAAGACTCAACGCTACCTAATGACGCACTGCGTAAAAGTACGAGCCATGTAAATTTTTAAAGAGGAAAAACTCTTTAGGAAAAACTTTAGTCACGGCCATTGTGTTATTGAAGTGCGCATGTTCTATAAACGGGTTTTCAGACATCTTACTTTGTATCCAGAGCGATGTAGTCTCTTTAACGTAGTGCTTGGGTTTCCGACCACTGTTATCGCGCACGTCAACATCCGCTCCTTTCATGTGGGGAGAAAAAAGAAGACGATAAGGTGTAATTAAGCAACACTGATCTTGGTCTCCAGTTCTGCCATATTTAACTTTTTTTTTCTGGACTCAAAGCGAAACGAAGGAACATAAACTTAAAATTCTTTTACCCCTAAGAGTGACTGGCTTCTATTTTCTCCTTACATTTTACCCTTGAATCAAATGAAAAGGTTATGAGAATAGAAGAAATGATCACCACGTTAAGAAGCTCCTGATTGTCAAACAAACTCTCCTTCTCAGTACCATAGCGGGAAAAGTAAAGATAGCAGTCTGGAAAATATGAGTAAGCATGAGGCAAGAGCAAGTGTTTTCTTACCGCTGTCAAACAGAGAAGCAATGACGTTTTCTCGGCCTTGGATCACGGCGAGATGTAACGCAGTGTATCCCTGAAATAAAATCATTCGAATTGCTTTATTTTCGGCGCATCAGATACATTCATAAAAGTTATATCGGCAAAGAAGCTTCTTCTTCGTATGCGAATTAGGCCACAGTTTGCCAAGTAAACTAAGGGTTAATGACAAATAAAGAGTTGATGTTGCTTGTCAGCTTGTTATTAAAGTGTATGGGCTTCTTTGCCAGGAACTTTAACCCTCGGCTAGGTTGCCGCCATTTTAATTCAGCATCTTCCACCTGCTCCTCCCCCCTAAAAGGCAACGAACCAAAAGGAAAAAAAACAAAAACAAGACAAAAAAAATATTTACGAAGAAATATCCACTTACCCCCTTAGCAGTTCCATCCAAGACGCCAAAGAGGAACATGATCAACCAAAAAGAAAAAAATTTTAATCAAAAGTTTTTTAGAATCGAACAACGGGAGACACCCCTTACCATAATGAAATAAGGCCCTGATAAAATGGAGGTGGACAAACCCAGCCGAAGTGAGCAATATTCAGGTGCAATATATTCTCTTCCAGACGATCTCTCATTTTCTCCAACAGAGAAGTTCAACCCCCCCACCCCCACATTTTCTTTTAAGATCTGCCAGTGATAAAGCCATGAGCGTCATGTAATAAAAAATGTGAGGGCAAACTCTCACCTTCTGGCCAATTAAAGAACCGTTGATAGAATGCCACACAAACCATCATGTCCAGCGTTGAAGAATAGTGGGAGACGAAAAGAAAACATAACTCAGCCCGTAAATATCAAATTCATTTATTTACTAAAAAAAGAAACAGATATTTTAAACATAAACAAATTTAATTCCTACCGATTTCATATTTACATCCATTCCTGTATTTATGAGAAGTTCGGCGATATCCTTTCTCCCTTTTTTGGCAGCCCAATGAAGAGCAGTCTGCAAAAAAACAATCCAAATGTGCATGAGTCCGATTGTTTTATTAATTTAGTGTATCATATGTAGTTATCTGCAGCCTCATGTTTAGGGAGCTAAACTTCGAGTCGCGAAGTCCAGCGAGACACGTCACTCTCACTATACCTCTCTTGATCCTGGCGTGTTATTGAAAACCTGACGAAAATATTGGGTTCCCTGGATTAGCCTCACACACAGGTGAACTAGTAATCTACCTATACGTTTCATGCCGCAGACACACCAGCAGGATAAACCTCTTGATTTGTTTCCAGACTTTATCAATAAAGGGCAAAATTACTGAGCGCTGATTGGTTGAGAGAGAGGGCATTTTTTCTTAATCGAGGGCATTTTTAGTAATCAAGAGAGGGCATGATTACCTGTTAATGATTGGCTAATCCGTTGCATAATTTTGCCCTTTATTGATAAACAAGTAATCCCATGAGACCTCGTACTATTAAGGATTAATTGCACTTGAGTTTTCAAAATTTTCCAAATTGCCCTCGTCGCTTCGCGACTCGGGCAATTTTGGAAAATTTTGAAAACTCTCGTGCAATTAATCCTTAATAGTACTTGGCCTCATGTGATTACCTATACTAATTACGACCGAAATTTAGACTCGGACGAGCTATAATTTAAGGCATTTGTTTTTTTTTAATTTTTTAATCGCAAAAGTAAAGATACTTACAAACTGGAATCAACATGCGTGAAGAGCCGTTTGTAAAAGAAGAAAGAATGAGAAACCATCGATTAGTAAACTGAATTTTATTACTTATCGTAAGACAAAACGAATCCAATGAGTAATGCGTTACTTACACCCTTTAGTTGTTTATCCACCATCATAGCAGTGGTCATGAAAGAAAAAAGATGTTGACTGAGAATGAATGAGTGAATATTAAAGAAATTTTTAATTAATTCGCCATTTTACTTCAACATTTTAATTAATACTTAGATGTCAAACTTCTCTTAACTTATTTCCCATTATTATAACATTAGCATTTTAGTACCTTTAGTAAGTTTTAATAATGAAGTCCTTCTGTGACTGATTGATATTAGTCTTAAAACTGTTTACGTTACTTTATTGTAATTAGTTTTAAAATCTTTTTATGTTATTTTATCTTAGTCAGTGTAAACCTCCCTGAAAACCATGTAATGTGACGGGAGCTTCCTCTATCAAGATAATTATTATTATCATTACTATTATTATCATTATTGTTGTTATCATAATAATAATAGCAATAATTATAATAATTAGTATTATTATTACTATTATTATTAAGCTTAAGAGAGTGCAGTGCTCTACCAAAACCCTACCAACTAAGAACCGATATCACAGTGGTCATGAGTTCAACTGTCCAGGTTTGACCTAGCAAGGTCTACTTGATGGACAGGTAAAGCTAGTTGGAACATATATATGCGAACCAAGAAAAAAAGAGAAGTGATAGCTTACCATGAAAAAATCCTTTGACAGGAAAATTTGTAGAGAAAAAAAATTAAGTTTCAGTACAACTGGAATAAATGAAAGAGAATACTTTTTAAATTTCCAGCTACACATTTTCCTGGGTATTCCAAGCGGAAGGCATTCAACAATCATTTTTTTCACAGATACTCTTTTCAGAGGAATACCAGGCAGCACGACACAGATTAAATTCTCTTCAAAAGAATCGCAGTCGCTTTTTAAGATGTCCTAGAGCAACTTAGCTTACACCCCAAGATAGCCCTTCCTCCACCCCCAACCCCCCCCAACCCCAACCCCCCCCCCCCCCAAGGTAAGACCCTGTATATAGCTTGGCTTTTCTTTAAATCTTCATTGCCATATTGCTACGAGTACGAAACTAAGAAGAAAGTTTTCTTTTCATTGTATCTCGGCGCCAGTTCCAAAAATCATTTAATTAAGCACCTGTGTTGTTACAAGGTTTGGATCCTGTTCCAATAATGCAACAATTCCGGGGAGGTTCCCTTCGCTTGCTGACTGGTTCCATTTTCTTTCTAAATATGAAACCTGGAAAAAGAAGTGCGATATGAAAACTGGTTGAAGCAAGGATAAAAGATGGAGAGCCGAATGGTGGAAGAATTCAGAAACTCCGCGGTCGTAGGAATTCGCCGATTCTAACTGTCCAAGTTAAGCTTTTGGTTGATCTGCGCGTGATAAATTGAGCGGCTCCACCTATACATGAACTAAAGGAACATAGAGCCACCAAAAAGCTCTCAAAAAGAAAAAAGAAAAAATTGATCGACTGCCCTATAATCTATCTTGTAAGCTATCATACCGTTAATTGTTCACTGTTTCTTCTTTCTTGAAGATCCGCCCGCCCTGTCGAGACTAAAAGAAAAAAAAACCACTGATCAAACAAGCGTTCTTAACCTCTGAACTCCTAAGGTTTCAAAGAAAAATTCTCCATTTAATCTTCTCTCCACTTTCTCGCAAATCATTCAAAAGAATTTAAACTTATACGAAGATAGAACCTTCTAAATATAGTGAAATACTCTTCTCAGGATCGCCGGAAGAAAACCTGCGGTATGCGATCGAATGTGGCGATCCACTTTGCAAGAGTCTCAGATCTAAGGATACCAGTGCCTCAGTAATTAAATTAAGTTTGATACATACCGTACGAATTCGTTTGAAAACCTAATGCTTCCAAAACCTGCGAACGACAAATATCGGGAAATGGGTGATAAGAACCCCGCTACTGTGCGGAACTCGAGGTGAGGGAGGAGTTGGTAAGTTTCTAAGGAAACTGTAATGCTGCGTCGGTGGGAGAGTTTAACAGGGTAATTTAGTACTCTCAGCTGGGTTGATAACGTAAATTGGCCACCCTTAAGAGTTAAAAAGCTGACGTTTCGAGCGTTAGCCTTAAGTCAGAGCGACTGGGGGAGGAGGGGAGGAGGGGGGAGGGGTAGTCTCCTACCCTGACCTTCCACAGTTACAAGGTAAGATCTGGGTACGAGATTAGGGGAGGGGTCAAGGGGAATTAAGTAGAGGTGCGTTCTCAACATAGCCCTGTTCTTTTGTTGTCGTTATTGTCGTTATTGTTTTTTTTACCCAAAAGGTACCCTTCTCACATACATCCATAAAGTGTTAACACTTTTAATATCCCAACAGTGAAAGTCTTTCTCTAAATATCTTGTAGTGCGGCTATCAAGAATGCTAAAGAAGCGAGAGAATGCGGGTCTCTAACAAAATCACAATAATAAGCAGTGAGACGAATTTCACGGAAACATTTGTCAAAAATGCTTTTATCTTAATTAGCTCCAGAAGCTCTATTGTTATGAAGCCTAAATTAAATGTACAAGTAATAAAAGTTTACTTAGTTTATATATTCACTTTAATTAATTAATTAACTTGATTGATTGGCATTCAGTGAACAGTCAAAGAGTTGAATAAAGGTAAGAAATGAGCGAGTGAAATCTTCGCCGACTGGAACATCGACGTCCAAATGATTATTTTGCTTAACTGAAGTCCTTTTCTGAAGCCTTCACACAATAACTTCCTCATGATCAGTGAACACCGTTCAATAATGAAATCCTTGTCGCTAAATGTCCAATAAACTTTCTAATGCTGAGAGAATTTCTGTAATTACCCTACGGATTCTACTTTAAAAAACGAGCTTTTGCAGTGAAGTTTCTGATACCTACCGCTTTCGATGCCCGAGACATTTGTCAGTAAATGACTACTTGACAGTCAAAGAGTTACTTCGCTTTGTATTGTATTGCTCTCGTCCTCTAGGATTGTCTGGTCTGCTACGACGCGTCTATCGCAGGTTCAGGTTGTCGCCAATGTTTTTAGGGCGATTCACATGCGCGCATGTAATTAAACTGAAGTTGTTGTCGTCTTTTTTAACATTTGTTTACCGATGCTTGTGGCAAACAATAGTCACAATACATTCGATATAGTTCGTTCTGTGTGATAATAAATGCTATACAAAGACGTTTTAACAGGACTTATAATCACTGTAGAAAACCGAAAATAGTTCAATAGATACGCATGTTGTTTCGTTAAAGAAAGTTTTCATTTTCCTGTGGTTATACTGGAATGCAAACATGTTGTCAATGCACAGTTACGGAAACAGAGATAACACGATTGACTCAATTAACTGCAAGAGAATACATTTTTCCTGACATTTTTCGCTTGAATTTTACTATTCGATAACGTGAATTCTCAAGCGTGGAGGGGGGAGAGGAGTAGCTCATTGGGAACAAGCACTATACTCGAAGAAACTGAAATTCAACTTTTGACACCGATTGGTTCATTTACAAGACGCTAAAAATACTTAATTCTCACTTTAATTAGCATGTGAAGGACACGTTGGTCTGGAAGCCAGCTGAAGGTCCGGATTTCAGCTTTGAATGGATAAATCATGTTGTGTTTTGAATAAGACAGAGCTGTCATAGTGTTTTCCTTTAACAAGAGTGTAAATAAGTAGCAACAAATGATTGACACGGTATCTGTGATACAAAGCCTCCCGCCTTTGCAAGTAGAACAGGCTTTGATTTGTTGTGTGTCTTTCAGGCAAGTGGAGGGAAGCGCGAGTTGAGAAAGAAGCGCGGATCACGCATGATCAGAGCCTGAAAAGCATACTCCTTTGCGCTCATCTCGCGCTTAGCCCTCGCTTGACTGAAAAACGCAAAGGTAAGGTCGGTGCGACAGCATTTCCCGCAAAGGTACCTCAAAATTACTCCAGTTGTTTCACGCTACAGAAAACAGTAAAGGATCTGGTGGAAATTGGTAACTAAGCTCAGGACTTGATCATATCTCACTAGGTATTTTCACCAGCTATAGAGAGATTCATAGCCGCGGTCCTATCATGACGATTGAAGCTAACGTGGCGTAAATCTCGCAACGTGGTAATCGCAACAGCTACCCGCTATAACAAGGAAGAATTGGCCAATTATTTGTAAGTCTGTGTTTGTAGGACTGAAGGTCCCAAAAACGTTCTCCGACAAGTTGCAGAGAAACACCTTAAAATAAGCCCAAGCGCTTTGTTCACGCCCTACCCTTTGCCTTGAAAATGTGCTTCGCCGAATGAAGAATATACGCACTTTTCATCGATACGCCACTGAAAGAATGCTGCACAAGATGAAATTGATAAAGATTTAAAGCCACGCTGTTCATATCCTAACAAGATGTTTTTATTAAGAGAAAAAAATGATCTTCTTGTCTTGATTACAGTGATGGTACAAGGATAACTGCAATGTAGACCAGCCAGGAAAAAGATTTTTGCTTGAAAGCAAATACGTCATTTGTGTTTCTTTTGAACACAGGGAATAGTTTGCTGACTCGATGGCATTTCGTTTGCTCTGTGAGATGCTTTGCTTTTATGTGAAGAATTTGCACAGGATCCTTGAAGTTTACATCAAGGAATTTTATAAGTAAACTCAAACCTCCTCAAGAGTAGGGTGAGACATAATTTTGTAATCAACCAAAATTATTTTGTTGAATAAAGGAACAGGTACCGTATAAGTCCCTCAGAATTGTCAATATCTTGATCATTCTTCGAGGTTTGCAATGTTTACAACAATCTTTGATTGAGTTGTCAGTATCTTGATCATTGTTAGAGGTTTGCAATGTCTTCAACAGTCTTTAACAGCTCTTCTTGTGTAACATTTGTATTGGGTAGAATGAGTTTCTCTTTATTGATCTGTGCCAAAAAGTAAACTCAATATCAATTAAAGTGCAATTTTGAAAAACAGCACAAACAGAGCATGTTCTGAACAAGAGACTGGGTTAAGTTGTCTATTAACTTAGTTAGTATGTTGATAAGCAAGCATGGACCAGCTTTCTAACTTAACCCTTTAAACCCTGAAAGTGACCAGCATCTAATTTCTCCTCACAGGAATACTGCTGAATCATTCATTAAGATCATGAGGAAAAAGGAAATCATCATCAACCTGAGAAGCTTTGATCATTAACCCTTAAACCCCCATGAGTGACTTGTATCTAATTTCTCTCTACAATATCATCCCTGAATCACACAAGATAAGGTAAGGAGAATAAGGGAAATGATCACCAACAAAAGAAGCTTTTGTAGGCACCTTAGGAAATGTATCAAGAACAGTATGGAGAATATACATTCTGATGATAGGGTGTAAAGGGTTAAATAAATTATCTTTGTCAGCACCAAAGGAAGTGTTAGAGAAGATTATGTAGAATATGGATGCTGATGTTGGGGTGTACATGGTTAATACTGGGCAGTGGTCATATATGTGGGTCTATGGTGTAAGATTTGGGTAAGAGAAGGCCTTGAGGAAGGGTAAGTGAAGTTGTATCAAGAACCTGTATTGATGGGGAGGGTTAAAATATTTCCTGCCACACCTTGAAAGATACAACATTAAGATAGCTTCCAGCAGTTGTGGGCCACAGGGTGCACAAAAGTGTACATACCTTTACATTTGCTAGCATTTCTGTAGAAACAGATTCCCTTTGAGTTCTGCTTTTAATTGATGTTATGTTATGAACAGCTGTAAAACTCTTGTTAACTTCTTCAATCTGTTGGAGTGTTTTCTCTTTCAACTGCATAAAAAAATGAAAGATAATCAACACACCAATGAATATGCATTACCAGTTGGATTTCACACTTAACCCTTTAACTCCCAGAAGTTATTAATATGTAACCTCTCCCAATAATATCTGTACATCAGCCAGCAAATAGGTAATGAGAATACTCACAATTATCAGCTAGGGGTTGACATCTTGATCTAACACCAAATTCTGGTGGTTTCTTCACAAGGAAATATGAAGAAGCTAGAGTAATTTTAATTCCTTGGCATGCAGTCTTGTTTTTTCAGTCAAGTTAAACTGTCTCAGAATTAAAGGTGGCTGGATATAGTTTTCCTGGTCTCTGACCGGCTATCTTCAGACCGCTCAAACACCAACTTTCCCCCCTTTGCAGTCGAACGATTCTCACGCGTGTGTTGACAAAAGGATTAAAGTTTGAAGTAGTTTGTGTGGCATGGCAATCGCTTGGAACGCTTTTAACAAACACCACCTAGCTTTGCGTCTAGCAGTTTATCGGCAACTATAAACCATAACATACTAGTATCTCCGTTAACCAATGCTAGCAACTCCTTTAGAAAAATGACATGAAATGTTACCTGCTTGTTAGAAAGGGTGCTCTTCTTAGCCTTTTTGACCCCAGAACTACTTTTTCTTTTTGTATGGAGTTTGTTTTTATGCTTCGAATGCACATGTGTTTTTCCAGGCGCCATGTTTTTTTTTGCGTAACATATTTAAAAGAAACCGCTGGTGAAAACGACTGTTTTTCCAAACTTCTGCTAAAATATCCGGGACTTTGCAGCCCAAGTCCCTCCCACTGCACTTGCGCATTTATTCCCCGGCCCTGTTGGACTGTCTCCGTGGAACGTGGAGCGACTGTACAACTTTGTTTCCTTCTTGTGAAGGCGGAGTTTGATCAAAGTTCTTTGATCAGGTGAGTGAAGACGAAGAAGATGTTATCTGCCTTCTGTAGCCTTTCTTTCAATTAACGTTTATCGTTGTCTATTTCGTGTGGGAGGCGGAAGGACGGAGCAAGAAACACGATCCCAGTGTTCATTAGTACTTGCCGTATCAGACACGAGAATTGTAAAAATTACAAAGAAGTTTTTTCCTCAATAGACCGTTTGTTACTTTGCGCTGAGGGAAATTTGAGGGCTAGTACCAGTTAAGCCTTGTTTGTACTCGGTGAAGCATAATGTTTGAAATTCAAACTTAAGTTCTGTAGGAGGGCAAATATACATAAACTTATTCAACTGTGCATTTTGTTAGCTTCCTCTTATCTGCCGATCCCACTTGCCGCAATTACACGAATACTTTCATCGACAAACCATTAACAAGCATTTAACGTTTCGCTTCTTTTAAAGTTGTCTCTTTTTAAAATAATTATTGCGGCTGTTTCTAAATTAAATTAGATTTTGTAGTGTGTGTATTTATGTTCGTGTTACTTTTGGTGGCGAATTTTTAATTCAACCACAAGCCAATCTTTGATAGTATCATACTGAGTTTTGTTATTGTTCACTTTTGTTATGCTGGATATTTTGAAAAAAGTACGGTACGTGTGGTTTCAGTTTTAATTTCTCGAAGCAATATTAATATTGTTTTGAAATTTCCCTGAGTAATGTCCATCTCCAAGCTTGTAAATATATATGTATCTCTGATTGTATTGAATACAATTACGATTTTAAATTTGGCTCACAAGTGTGGAAATGAGATAGATGTTGGACTGCTTAGTACTGTGCAATCATAAATATCAAGTGCATTTCCTGGGTTGACAACAAAAACTATGCCTAATGGCCTGTGGGTTAACTGTCAAATGCCTTCAACACAAATTCCTGTTATGGCTTATGCTTGTGATTTTCATATTAAAGTTACAATAAAGAACTCTTAAGGATCACTTAATTAGTGAAAGTCAGGGTTACAGTGATAATTTTTATTGAGATAGTATCCTCTCGATAGTATTCTCTTTATAGCATCACAGTTGTCTTTTCCAATTGTAATTGAGGTCACCAGTATATTGGTTAGCAACAAAGTGTCATGTTAAACAGATTTCATTAACTTTTTTCTAAGGTAGTGTTAAAAAAATCTTAAATTCTCATTCTGTATCAAGAAAGTTAATTAATTGGAAGAAACCAAACCACTTTTTGTCAGATAAATGAGAAACTTGAATTGAGTATTCATGCCTGATAAACAGTTCTCCCTTCTACAATAATAGCTGCGGTCAAGTTTTGGTTACTGATATATCAAGATAACACCTGCCAGCTCTACCCTCATCATCTGTTTTCTAGATAACACATTGAACATTGTTGTGATATTGATTACTACTTAGAGCTGAAGTCCATTTTTATGGGCTGATCTCAGTTGAAATATTAGATCATACTTAGTTCATGTAGAAGTCATCAAAGCAAAAGGAAATAAGTTTGTGCAGGAAGAACAAGAAACCTTAGACATTGTTGAAATCCTTTGTTACAATCTCCTTTGAGTGACATTTTGCATCTTTAACAAATTGTTGTCGTACCATTTTCTTGTCATATTTACACCCTCATTAATTGCCCATGAATCCTTTTAACTCTAAGAGCTGATTTAAAATTATCTTTTAATTACAATATCAACACCAAAACCAGAGAACGGGTGATTCAATTCGAGAAAGTTATCAGCAAGATGTTATCTTGATGTAACACTTCAAATCTTTCAACTTATTCTAAAGAAATACAGAAGAGCTAAAGTGATAATTGGAGAGTTGAACTGACACTGTTGCAGTGTTCATGTACTTTACATCTGCATACATGTTGCAGGCAAGAGAGTAAACTAATTGTTTATTTGTTCACAGAAGCTCCTGAATTAAGGCCTGACCATGCCGGCTCCTGGTAAACTGAGAGACCTGATACGAACAATAAGGGCCGCAAGAACAGCTGCTGACGAAAGAGCAGTGATAGCAAAGGAGTGCGCTTACATCAGAGATTCCTTCAGAGAGGAAGATAATGACTTTAGATGCAGAAATGTGGCCAAGCTTCTGTATATTCACATGCTAGGATATCCTGCACATTTTGGCCAGGTATAGTCAAGAGTTACATCACATTTTATAAGGAGAAGGAAGTATAGGAGATGTTTTTGTAATAGGGTATGGTATGTTTTAGTATGGTACTTGTTGTTAATGAAGTTACAAAAGCCATGTTCTTTTCATAATATTATTTCTCTGTGTCTCTCTGCAGAAGGTCTAATAGGGAATAAACTTTGGAACTGGGGGTTATTTTCAAGCCAGCCCACACTTAGTCATGTTTATTATTTTATATTGAGTTTTGAAGTGTGGAAATTGGTATGGAACATGCTACCCATTTTCTTTCACAGCTGGAATGTTTAAAACTTATTGCCTCACCCAAGTTTACAGACAAAAGGATAGGATATCTGGGAGCCATGTTGTTACTTGATGAACGGCAAGATGTCCACTTGCTGGTGACAAACTCTCTTAAAAAGTGAGTAAAAAATGACAAAAACTAAATTATGGGACAACAAGTGTAAGTTTATTTGGAGAATTGTGGCTGATATTATACTATACTTTTGATGCATTTCAGTGATTTGAATCATCAGAACCAGTTTGTTGTTGGCCTGGCACTTTGTTCTTTAGGAAAGTAAGTTCAATACCTCGTGTTTCTTTCATATTTTCTTCTGGCATACTGGAAAATATTTTGGTGATTTAGAGGTCTTTTCGTTTACTTCTGGTTTTTTAACTGCATGGATAGGTGACTCTCCTTTAATACTAGTATAGTAAACTCTGCAGTTGTTTGATTCTAACAGAGTTTTAATAATCGTCTCTGCATCACAGTATTTGTTCTCAAGAAATGAGTCGAGATCTAGCAGGTGAAGTGGAAAAGTTGCTCAAGTCAACAAACTCTTACCTGAGGAAAAAAGTGAGTTAAATGTTATTTTCGTACACAGCTGAAATTTGGTTGGCATTATGGTGCTCAAATTTGTTATATAATGACAGAAATGTAATTTATGGTTTAAGCTTCACACTTAACTTACATGAACATTTTGCATGTATTGGTACTGGTATTAGGGAGAAAGATTTTTCAGTCTTCAGGTTCTAATGTAATGGGTTGTTGTGGTTTTTCAGGCAGCACTTTGTGCAGTAAGAATAGTTCGAAAAGTTCCAGAACTCATGGAAGTGTTTGTCCCCACAACAAGATCTCTTTTGAATGAAAGAAATCATGGTTAGTACCAAAAATACTTTAGTTCATGGCTGGCACCTTTTGAGTTCTCTAGAAGCTTGTTGGCAGCCATTCCTCAACAGTCCAGAGCCCTTTTCTGGCAGTTGCCTTGAGGCATTTGCCCATCCCATCCTCCATCTTCTGTTCCTTCTACTGATTTACTCAGTGTTGATGGGTGCTGGGAATGGGGCTTCATGGTAGGGTTATAGGGATTTCCCAGCTATAGGTGTGGCACTTTACACCCTGAGCACCTGTCTGTTATTCAAGCTAGGTAACAGCTAGGAGTGGTTACAAACTGAAAGTCATATGTGTTCTAGACTTGAATCCAAGTATTGATGCAGTTTAAGTAGGGTTGTCATTTGAAAATGTCATTGGTGGGCTGAACTGAGCAGGTGGCTGGGTTGAATTCTGCTTGCTGAGCAACCATGGCATGTTGCTTCACTTACCACAACATAGTGTTTAACATTGATGGGTGGCCTTGACAATGAAGTGTGTTTTAAATGGTTAAGAATTAAGGGAAAATGTTTTAACTTAAGTTTTATGTTCTGCTTTTGACTTGTTTGACCAGGAGTTGCAGTGTGTGGAATTGCACTGGTTACTGAGATGTGTCGGGTGAACCCTGAGACACTATCTCACTTCCGAAGGGTAAGTTTGTGTTCATCTTCAATGCAGGCAAAAGCCACTATGCAGAGTTACTGCCACACTCAGAAAAATGAACAATTAGAATGTCTTTGGAATGTTAATTGTGTTATGGTCTACTGCTTTGCAGGTTAATACATGCAGGCAAACAATGAAACCACAAATTAATCAACCTACAGTTTTTTTATGATAAGTCATGTTATTTCTGATTGGCCTTGCATTCTTCTTCCTGACTCAACAACATCAGAGAATTAACTGATAGATTCCATGTTGCCATGCATCTGTTCAGTAATAGATCACAGATGGTCTCAAAATGTGGTGAGAACAAAAAGAGGGGCACACAAGCCACAACCAGGTGTGTCACTGATGTTCTTATCACAGTTTTATGTCATCTGTGATCTGTTATGGAACAGACCCATGGAAACAAAATATTTGTTTGATAATTCTGTGATGTCATGGCATAATTCAACATAATTATTATACACATGCTGGTGGTTTTCATACAGTCATGTATAGTAGTTGTCTGAGTATTACAGTTGCAATTAGTTGTGCAGTTTTACAAAATTGCTCTTTTAGTTTATGTAACTGTAAATAATTATAAGTTGTATTTTTGTTTGATTACAGCATGTTCCAATTTTAGTGAAGACACTAAAGAATCTTGTAATGTCAGGATATTCTCCTGAGCATGATGTTTCTGGAATAAGCGATCCATTCATGCAGGTAGGATTACTGATTGGTTGTGGTCTTGTTTTTTATAAGGGTAAATTTATGGACACTTACAGTATGTGTAATTGTCTCCTTCTGGGCACTTACAGTACAAGTAATTATCCTGCTGAGTGTGGACCACAACCAATTTTTGTGGTGATGTTTCATTTTGTTTTTTTGCAGGTAAAACTTCTGCGACTTTTGAGAATGCTTGGTAAAGATGAAGAGTCAGTCAGCGAACAGATGAATGATGTGCTGGCTCAGGTGTGTACATGGAGTTACCAGTATTTATGTGCAATTTGTTAAACAGTGTGTCAACCCTTTTACTTCCAGCAGTGACCAAAACAGAATTTCTCTTTACAATATCAGTACAATGTCAAGCAAACTAGTGATGAGAATCAAGAAAGATAGAAATTAAATGGGTTATAATTTTAACGGGTAAAAAAAATTCTCAGAACAAAAAATATGAGCAATGTAGGGAAGGCAGTATGTAGAATTACCAAAGAGATCTTGGGAGTGAAAGTGTAATGGCCAAATAACATAATTGTGTACATTTGTGAACATTACAACAACAGTATCATCAATGCAAATTACAGTGCAAGTGCTGGTAATCAAACAGTGCCTTTTTCATGTTGCGATCTTCCATGAACAACCTTCTACACCCTTTGGATGTCGCTGTTGTATCATTATACACAATGTATGTGCATTAGATGGTTTATCATTAACTACAGCAACACAAAGTTGATGGGAACATTTTTTCTGTGGATACCTATTCCCAGGAATTGTGTGATTTTAGATGTGTTGATTTTCCTGTTTTTTTTTCCCCTTACAGGTTGCAACAAACACTGAAACCAGTAAAAATGTTGGCAATGCCATCTTGTATGAAACAGTTCTGACCATAATGGATACAAAGTCAGAGAGTGGACTCAGGGTATGGTTTCTTGTATCATTTTTTCTGATGGTTTTTTTTGCTGTTTTCCCTTTTTTTTTTGTTTGCCAAAAAGAAAAATTTCATGATAGATATAACTGCTGCTCATAAACCTTTTCACTCTGCTTCTTGCATGTACAAAATCAAAAAATGAAAATAAATAAATGAATAAATATAAAGTACCTTGCAAAATTTAATTACTCAGTGTAATCTTTCAGCCCCTAGAGTGACTAGCATCTAATATCTATTTGCAATATCACTCTGCTTCTTGCATGTACAAAATCAAAAAATGAAAATAAATAAATGAATAAATATAAAGTACCTTGCAAAATTTAATTACTCAGTGTAATCTTTCAGCCCCTAGAGTGACTAGCATCTAATATCTATTTGCAATATCACCCCTGAATTAAACATTAAGGTCAAGAGAGAGAAGGAAATGATCACCAGCTAAAGAAGCTCTAGTTTTCCAAACAAATTCTCCTTGTCAGCACCATAGGAAATGTATGGAGAACAGTATGGAGAATATGCATACTGATGTTAGGATGGAAAGGGCTGGCAGTGTCTTTGGTGGTTCATTGTTTTGGTGGCGGTAATTTTACAGTGTAGGTTGCCCTTGTAAAAGTTAATAAAGATTTACCAATCTTTAATTGCAGTTTATATCTTTTTTTGTAGGTTTTAGCAATCAATATTTTAGGACGCTTTCTTTTAAACAATGACAAAAATATAAGGTGAGGTTGACTTTGAAAGTTTTTGTTTGGGGTTAAAAATGATTCAACTCAGCTACATAGTACTGTGTTTGTACTCTATTAAATTTTTTATACATCCTTTACACGTGGGCCACCAACATGCTTTCTGTGTATAGAAGTGGTTAAGGAAACAGTTTTCACTTGAGTGCTGTACAATTGATGACCATCTATAATATCAGTCATATATTTTATTTTTTATTTATATTTGGTAGATGTTAATCACAATTTTTTTTTTCACATAATTCAAAACTTCCAATTTAAGTTGAATATATGCTTTGCTGTATGCATTTATAAAGTTGTCACAAAAATGCTGTCAGGGAACTTTTGAATTTAACATACAGGAATGAATTGATTCTCAAAACTACTTGACTTTGTATTTTGGTAATGTAGTCAAGAAAAATTTGCTTAGGCACCTTTTAGGAAGCTGAAAGTAATGTTTTTTCTTACCATATTTTTTGACTTGCTTGGAGTAGGAAATTATTTGTTCCAGTGTTAGAACTATTATTGTTGACTTTTTGATGGTGATTGTATTGCAGATATGTTGCACTGAACACACTCTTAAAGACAGTAACTGCAGACTACAATGCTGTCCAGAGACACCGGACCACAATCCTAGACTGTTTGAAGGATCCTGATATTTCCATCAGAAGGTAAGCACCTAATTTTTTTAACTCACCTCTTATTGATATAATTAACTACCTTTGGTAAAAAATGTTTTTATTCAAAGTGTTTTAACACTGAGTCTCTAGATGAATAAACAGTCACACTCAAGTACAGATGTTTGCAAAAGTTTTTGTGCCTTTTTTCTTTACTTTAAGATGGTTCTTTTGAAGTGATGTAAGTGCTGTCTTAATTAGTACAAACAGTATCTGTTTTTTGGTTGTTGTAAAAGTTAACTCTTTTACCCCTAAGAATGACAAGCATCTAATTTCTCCCAGCAATATCACCCCTGAATCAAACATTAAGGTCATGAGAGTATAGGAAATAATCACCAACTGAAAAAGCTCTTGATGGTTGAACAAATTCTCCTTGCCAACACCATAGGAAATGTATAGTGAACAGCATGGGGAATATGCCAACTAATGTTAGGTTGTAAAGGGTTACACAAGTAATGAATTAAGTTCATTTTGATAATTTTTTCCCTCTTGTTTTTAGGCGAGCAATGGAATTGTCCTTTGCTCTTATAAACTCAAGTAACATTCGTGGCATGGTGAAAGAACTCTTGACCTTCCTGGTCAAAGCTGATGTGGAGTTTAAGTCTTATGTCACCTCAAATATCTTCTTGGCAGCTGAAAAGTAAGAGTTTTGTTTACTCCACCCATCAAAAGGAGAAACATTGTTTTTGACATTTAAATTTTTCTTTGAATGGTGTAGATACACTGTAATGATAATGCTAGCCATTTGTCCAGCTTTCAAAACTGCTTCCAACATGATGGTTACCATATTATGGAAAGTTAAAAGAGATAACAGCAAAATGGGATACAAAGTGGTTTCATTAAAAAATATTGTACCATGATGTTTGTGTAAAGGCCACAAATGGATAGCCAGCACATAACAAACATATTTATGTAGATGTACCTGCTAGGCAGCATCTTTTGTAACCATTGGTACATACGTTGGTAAACGTTACAGGCACTGTACGAGAATGATGACAGTTAAGAGAAATTGAACTTGTTCCAGGCATTCAAGTTTTAAATGAGGCAAAATAGCAAATGGCCAGATAAAAGCGGAGAAGTGAAAAAGCAAGGGAGGTTTCCATTCTTTTTTTCACTCCTCCACTGCTGTAGTGTTTCTTAGAGTTGTGCTTCACTTTACGGATTGGAAGACAGCAAGACAAATAGCAAGATAATGACCAATTTGAAAATTTTAGGCTAATTGTTTTTCATGTTCAGGAATGAGATATTCATCATGTTTAAATTTGCCTTTGCTCCAGGCATTCTCCAAATAAAAGGTGGCATATTGACACAATGATGAAAGTTCTTACAACTGTGAGTATACTTTGTTACATTATGTGCTGGCTTGGTTCATCGTGCTCTGTAGTTAGCTAAATTAAAAAAAGAGTGGAGAAAAAAACCTGCAAAGTGAACATACTCATGTTAATAATGTGATAATGTGATTGTACTGCCATTGTGTGTAAACATGCCCAATGATTATCTATGTTGAACACTACTTAAGATTTAACTGAGGATAATGAATGATTATTACATTCTGCAATATGAGGGCTATTAACAATGGTTTTTGCTTCCCTGAGCAATAATAAAGACAACAATATCACTCTCGATAGGTTGTCATCTAAAGTGTACTTAACATTTGTAAAATCGACTGATTATGAGTCTTCAAATTAAGGCTGGAAATTATGTACGTGATGATGCAGTTCCAAGCCTGATTCACCTGGTGTCAACGTCCAGTGAACTTCAAGCTTATGCCGTGCAACGACTTTTTAAAGCCATGCAGAATGACATTAGCCAGGTAATTTTGTAGTCACAATTCTAGTAATATTTTTACAGGTTTAAGTACACATTTCACACCTATACTGACTGAAATTGTTTACTTAGGAAGTTATTAACGTTTTCAATGAATTAAAAGCAATGTGACCAAACCGGTCAGCTCTGTGTAGTCTAGTTGGAAGAGCTGCCAACTGCAATCAGTTGTTAACACTGCTCCCACCGACGCAGCACCATGCTATATGGTTGGAAGAGCTGCCGACTGCAAAATAGCACTTTTGCACGAAAATCTCGTAAGCTTCTTGTGAGGGCGGCAGGGTTTCTATGAGGGATCTGGCACAAACTTTCATGCCAGATCCTTCGCAGACCTCCCGCAAGAAAGTGAAACAACTCAGCTCAATCCTCGCAACTCTCGTTACTCGACTCCGTCTCCTTGGACTCAACTTCCACGAGGTAATCGTTTTGCAGTTCCAATAAGAATTTTCTCATATGCTGCAAAATCAAAGGATTGGAGAGTTGAATCTTGACTGCCGAAGCTTGGGTTGAAACTGTTTGGTTAATTAGAAAATTTTAAATCTTAAACTTGCGAAGCATCTGAAAAAAAATATTTTGTGGCCCTCTTAACCCGGGCTAACTCAAATTACCCTGTGTCACTCGCAAATTACTGTATTTGGTAATCGAAAATGGGTTTTTCTTTTTAGCAACCGCTGGTCCAGGTTGGGTCTTGGTGCTGTGGGGAATACGGAGATCTGTTGTTTGTAGACAGTGAAGAAGATGAAGCTCCCGTTGTAAGTTGAATTCACACACACTTTATACTCTTTATAGTAAGTTTACTTTGATTAGTCTAAGGGTGTAGTTGCTTTTTTTTTAATTTCTATTGTGGATGTAGCCACGAGTGGTTCTACGAGTAGACTATTTGAAAGGCACACGGCAGCTTTAACCCTTCACACCCAAACATCAGTATGCATATTCTCCATACTGTTCTCGATACATTTCCTAACGTGCTGACAAGGAGAATTTGTTTACCAATCAAAAGCTTCTTTAGTTGGTGATCATTTCCTCTTTACTCGCGACGTTAATGGGTGTTTCAGGAGTGATATTGTAGGGGAAAATTAGATGCTAGTTACTCTTAAGGGTTATAAGGTTAACGCTCCTACTAGTTGGAAGTAGATTCATAGCCGATTCGGAACCTACATGTAAGGCATGAAAATGAATATTCACATCTATTGAGGCAGATTTACACGAGTTCGTGTTTACATATACATTCTAATGTGCATTTACTGGCGTTTAGTGTTACTGCACAGAGTTTGCGTCTTAAACACGCTATTTCTGCAGCGCGCTTGTAATTCGTAATTCGCGTATTTTATCCGCGTGTTAATGTTGCACTACAGCTGAACGGTAAAATAACTGGCTGCTGTGATGGGAATTCCAGGAAATTAAACAGGTTTTTATTGAAAGTACTGCACGAGCTGATGTCATTCATTTACTGTGCTTTACTGTAGATTACAGAGAATGATGTTCTTGATGTATTGGAAAGTGTTCTGTACAGCTCCCACTCAACTTCGATCACCAGAGATTATGCATTAACTGCCGTCATGAAACTCAGCACACGTTTCACCGCGACAATGGAGTGAGTGAAGCTGAATAAATTTGAATTAACCTTCGCGATTGGCTATCAACATTAATGATGACATTTTGTTGAAAATTTTAACCACCAGCTGACTGACAAATTGAATTTTTTTGTGTCTTTTCAGGCGGATTAAGAATGTAATAAACCAATTCGAAGTGAACATGGATGTTGAGCTGCAGCAGAGGGGCGTAGAGTTTGGTTCGCTCTTCAAAAATCATGACAGTATGAGGTAAATTGTTTTCATTTTAATCATGTTGAAAATCAATCAATGGCTTTCTGATTACAGACCAGTTTAGGTGCTGCTTTTTTTCTGATGATTGATGAACTAGTAGTGATGGCTGACCGTCGATTACTGCACCCGCCAACTTCTTGAAGTAACCATGCTTTGTAAGGAGATGCCCGACTTAGACTCAAACCGTTGAATCCGAACTACATCGATATAGCTTAGAAAATGATTTTCTTTTATCCTCTCCAGACCGGCTCTTTTGGAAAAGATGCCCGTCATGGAATCTAAGCCTGTATCCTCTGAGCCAGTAACAAATGGAGAAGTCACAACACAACCAGAAGAACCACAAACGACTCAAGAAGGTACATAGGAGCTTCTGTTCTTTCGCATCAAGTTAACTCTGTCACCGACGTTTTCCACTGCCTGTACTCTTGCTTGTACATTGGACGACATATCACCCCTAATTTTACATTAATCAATTGTTGTAGTATAATTTTGCTAACTCGCAGTTTCTCCCGCCTTTATTTTGCATTACAGCTGTTACAGAAGAGAAACCTCCTAAGCAAGCGGTAAGCCGTGAAAACGCTTTTTTTTTTGGCTCGAAGGAGCCAAACAAGTAATAACAACGTCCAATCAGAGCGGAGGAAATATTTGAAGAAGCTAAACAGAATTGAAGAAGAAAGCAAACTGTGCGGTAAAACGCAAGCGACCGAGTCGTGATTGGTTTTTACTTGTGAATTTGATTGGTCGAAAGAGTGACGCGCGTTTTCTAAGCCAATAAGAGAGCACAATCCAGGATTAATTTTGGCACACAATTGAAAATTTCTTCATATCAAACTGAGAAAGAAAGTTATAGAATACATTTAATGAGTGTTGTACATGTAAAAATGCCAGACTCCGTGAGGATTCAAGCCGGAGCTAGATCCGATATTCAACCAAACGAGCTAGATGGAACCCATTGGCAGCCCAGGCTATATTTTAGGTCTGATTGTGAAAAGCGCCCTGCATACTACGAGAATCAGAAAGGTCGGAGGCTTCTCACGTTTAGATAGTAGGCTTAAGTTGAACTTGGTCCGGACTGTCAAGTCAATTTTAGTCAGTTTGCTTTTAGAAAAGAGTGTTCGACGCGCAAATTGAAGGAAAAACGCTCCATTTGTTTCTGAATTTCTCCATATTTGACCAACCTGTGTTTTCTCCCGTCAGTCGGAGACTTTGTTGGATTTACTTGGTGGTGGCCCCACCCAGCCTGAACCTACTCCCGCTCCAGTCCAACCTCCAGCTCCTGCGTCTTCATCCGGTGGTGACCTCTTAGATTTGCTAGGAGGTCTGGACCTAGGCTCAACGAATGCAGGTTAGTTCAACCGCAAATGATGCGGTTTGAAAGCACCTTTCGATTGGTTGTCGTCAAACCAATACTTAAAATAATCGCGATGCGTGAATAGAGCAGGGTTCGATAAACATCACATGAAACTAGTGACAACTCGAATAACCACGAAAAAACTGGCCTCGAAAGCGGGAAACTCTGAGTGACAAAGGCTCGGTTGTTTTTTCCTTGGCAACCATCATCTTAAGTTCAGTGTTGCTGGAAACCTTGCAATCAGGGTGTGAAAATATTTTGAAAATATGTAACGACAGCTTGCAAAAATTTCAAGGAGATTTGAAAAAACGAACAGGTTTTTAAGAAGAATTTCATGTCCATTGAAACTTTTGTAAGGTTGCTTTTGCAAGTATTCTAAGTCAAAAGTAAAGAGCGTAGTCCTTTATGATTTCAACATATGCCCAGTTTCATCATACTAGTTCTACAACACGACCCCAAAACTTCTGTAAGACCTGATGGGATTAATGGATGGTGGCCAGATTTCTCAACCAATCTCAGATTGCACAGTCACGGATTACTTGAAAGTTTTCCAATTGAAATTTTTTTCTAAGCAGCACCATACTTAACCCTGTAACTCCCAAGGGTGACCAGGACAGAATTTCTCCTTACAATATCAATACAAAATCAAGCACAGAAGTGATGAGATTGAAGAAAATTATCAGTTGAGGGCTCATTAGCTGATCCAATATGAAATACTCTGAAGTAACATCATAAGAATTATATGGGAGACAGTAGGGAGTATTTCTACTTGGATCTTAGGATTGAAAGAGTTAAATCATTAGTGTCACTCCGGCCAATCAGTTGCTTGTTTTTTCTTTTGGTGCCAGGTCCCCCTCCGATGAACATAATGGCTCCTTCATCAGCTGTTCCTAACCTGTTGGATGGCGGTGGACTGCTGAATCCAGCACCATTAGGAGTACAGGCTCCAGTGCAGATGAACCATCAACCTGTCGCTTCACTGACTCCAAATTCTTCTTCAGGTTAGTTTATAGACCTTTGTTAAAATGAGTGGCAAGCACGCCTCCCTATGGTAATCAGTCGATTACCTTCCACTCAACATGATTAACAGAAATCTTGTAATTAATCTCTAATGAGTTATCTAAAAGTCGCTGCCCTCCCCCCCTCCACCCCCCTCCACCCCCCTCCCCCACTCCACCCCCTCCACGTTTACTACGTAGCCGGTGGTCCATGCTCAAGAGAGATGGAGAATGAAATCAACGGGATGCGTTGCAAAGCTTCCCGTGAGGAATTCTTCCCTCCCTGCTGCATAAAGCTCACGCAAAACGGCGTCGGAGCTAAGACATCTTCTAATGTGAATTTTGTTTGTTAGGTTTCCCGCCCATAACAGCCTTCGAGAAAAATGGTTTAAAGATAATTTTTGCGTTCGAGAAGGTTCCTGGTAACCCGTCTAATGTGGTGTCCATCATGGTAACGGCCACGAACTCGCTCGCTTTCCCCATGACTGATTTTGTTTTCCAGGCAGCAGTACCTAAGGTATGCAATCAGTCCCTCTTCGGTTTATTTTAAGCGATTGTCTTTGTGGAAACATGGGTGTCAATAATTTTTCCATAAGCGGCTGCCGGTACTGTTAGGCAAAAAATAGATACGAGAGTCTGCTCGCAGGGTTAACAGACGGCGGTAAGAAGTCTTATAGGCGTAGGTAGATCGCTGGCAACTGGCTTTAAATGGAACTCCTGATAAGTGCAGCGAAAAAAGTGGTCAAATTTGTGCGAGTTGAGCATCTTTTTCTCTTGACAGTAAAGTGAAGTGACAAGCACGCCCTGCAGTCAATGACTTGTTGTTTTGTTCGTCCACAGACTTTCCAGTTACAACTCCTAAGCCCGTCTGGTAATGTGATGCCACCCAACAACTCAGGAACCATTACCCAAGAAGTGAAGGTGGCCAATCCACAACAGGTAAATCAGTCGGCTATTTGTATGCCTGCCCTGTTCCTAATAACATCTTTTCTTTCTCGGCCTGAACTGCCTATTTGATTCAACGCTTTTAGGGAAGGATTCCAAATCACCCGAGTGAACTGTTGGCAATTTCTTTGACACGTGATCGCGATTTGCGACCCGCCGGATTGGTTAATTGAGCTGCACCCACGTGATCAATGTTTTCGTGTTTAATTTCTTTAGCAGTATGAATACTAATATAGCATAAGCCGTTCTTTGAAACTAACCTGTTAGCGTATGGACAACGAGACTTTTCTAGGTTACACTTTGTCACGAACGAACATGCTCGAGACGAGGACGCGTGTTGATAATTTGGGCTCAGGGAGGCATTGTAATCCAGTAATTTTTCTTAACAGAGTTATTCCTTTTCCTTTTTTGGAATGAAAAACTTACACGCACATTTAATGTCAAGATTTCTGCTGCTAAAGTTGTTTCCTATCGCTCTTGCCTATGATTCAAAGAGGAAATTGCCTTAAAGCCGTTGCTCTACTTGTTTTTTTTATTTACCAGCTAAATTTAGCCTTTGTGTGACAATGAAATCCACCGTTTGTTTCCTTTATCTAAGGGGGATTTAGAAGTGTGAGAAGGGCGTCAGCTTTATTGAATCATCAAAATGATAGACTGACACCCTTCCTTTCAGACGGTAAACATCGGAAGGCTCGCTTGTCAGTGCTAGCGACAAAACAACCCTGTACAGTTCTTTAAGAGAAACGTATACAGTCTGGGAGAAGTTAGCCGGGGGCATAACACGTGTTTGTTGTTTTCATTTCTGACTTCCCGTGCAGCTACAGGATGTCGAATATGACAGTTTGAAGCGACTTCCACGCACGTGTTTCCAAAACCATTTTCAACGTGTTCTAGGGAGACGTTCTGTCGAACATATTCTTTTCCCACGTGTAGAGTTTTTTTTCTCCATTTCTGGTAGCATCCGTGTTGTCTTTAACTCAAGCACTTCATCTCTTCACTTGATTGATGTTTGTCCTTTGTATCTCTTGCTGTAGCTTCAGAGTTCTTTGTCTGTTTTGGCGGTGGTCTTGTTTTGTGGTTCTTTTGATGTTGACAGTTTGATTCCTGTGTTTTCGCTTGTCGGTCTTTTTTGCGGTTTTTAACAAATGTTTTGTTTCGCACGGCCTTAAAATAAACTTCCTCTAATGAACAAGTTATTGCTTTGTCTGTGATTTATGCAAAGTAGTACTCAATTATGGCTGCCGCGCTGGTGGTAGGTGTTAGTAAGGTAAACTTTTCTAAGTCTTCGAACTAAAATTGATTCCGCTCTGCGCACAGGTTTCGGTAACTTTCACCCTTTTTTTGTTTGGGTTTTTTTGTGTTTTTTAAAGTCAACTAATTCATGGTCTCAGAGGACAATAAAGTCGCGTATTAGGAAATAATGTTACGTGAACACCCTCTGGCTGAGTCAATGAGTTGTTCAGCCCTCAAGTGATTAAAGACGAAGTAATCAATCATAGTGATTTTTTCAACTTAAAGTGTTTGCAAAAGGTTTAAACGCTTTCAAACACGAGGCGCTGTTTAATCTACGTGACAACTTTAAACAACAGCCACGAAGGAAACAGGGCGTGTAGTGCAACTTATTCTCTGTCACCACGTGCGGAATCGTGCGCGCAGTCTCGTCTTTGAGTGTTTTGAAGGTAAATTACTTGTTAATCACTTCTGACAAGTTCACGATTAATATGTTTGTTCTGTTGGCTTGAAGCAAGGTTCTCGGGAGTTGATTTATCCTTTACTAGCACGTTTAATATAAGCATTTCGACTGCCTTTTTTTTTTGGACGCTTTCAGTCACAGTCCTGCCAATGGCGGTTCTGCATGCATCAGTGTGTATCGTAGCATTCGCCAAAACGCCTTCATGTTGACAGAACTCTATGTAGATGAAAAATTATTTTCCCAGTAGAAGGGGGAAGTACTTTTGTGCCAACCAAGACACATTTTCTTTCTAAAATTATCCATATGCAACTGCACGTAAATGAAGTTCATCGTACACTGAACTGCGATACCAAAACGTAAAAATGGCTTTCGCCTCGTTTTCTGTCTGTTTGGATCAATATCAATATCTGGGCAACTGCCCACCTACCCCTCCCCTGACCCAACATTAACCTTCACTTGTTGTCAGTTGACTGTTGTTGGGTCAGGGGAGGGGTAGGTGGGCAGTTGCCCAGATACTGATACCGATCCGGTTTATTTTATAACAAAGCATTAAAAACACTTCAGTGTACATTTTTTTCGAATAATATAGATTATTAGTATATTATTATTATTATTATTATCATTTTTGAGTTTTCCATCAGGCTTTCATTAATATTCTTTACAGTTCTTATCTGAGACAACAAGAAACTAATAATAAAGTAAATGTTTGCCTCCTTTTGCTATTCGACGTCAATTTAACATCAAAGGGTTGGGTGGTTTTCTGATCGTGATATGCGTCTCAACGCAGTTATGCGTGTGAGATCCTGCAATACCGTATGTAGAAAGACCGTGTTTGAAATGTTGTTTAAGAAGCTTAACGGTCAAAAGGAAATTTGTGCACTGGTACACAGGCAGAGAATTTTGTACTCATAACTCCCAATTAGTGCGGTCTAAATGTTTCGGTTGCACATACGTAAACCGCAGAATTTGTAAAAGTGTGTCACTATTGTGGTAACCCTTTTCTTTCGTAGCAGTTTAAAAATGCTTATACAACCCTTAAAACTTTCGCTGATACACTACTCATTGTTTCTACAGCAACCGTTGCGCATGAGGCTAAAACTGTCGTACAAGGTGAATGGGGCCCCAGTCAACGAACAAGGGGAGGTGAACAGCTTTCCTCCGGGACTCTGACCTCCACGACATTGGGTCATTATATGTAGAAATTATATTTTGTATTGTAAAATGCTTATCGATGTGTATTCAGTAATCAGAGGCTTGGATGCTGTCTGTAGACTTGGGTTGCATACCGTTTAGAACATGGAATTGAAACTGCAGTGGTACAGAAGACTTACGTGGTCATAATTGAAGATTATTAAGGGGAATTTTTATATTGACACCAGAATGACTATTCTTTTTGTCTCCTCAAGTGTAGTGAGTCGATGGTAATCTCTAGCATTATGCGAGACATGTTTAAAATCATTTATCGTACTTCCATATTCTGTACTTCTGTAGTTCCAGGGTCCAGCCCAACCACACTATTTCAGAGCATTCACAGCTAGGTTGTGAGTTTTTGTGGTGCCTTCACTCAGGATTTCCCTTCCCCTGTAGACAAAGATGGCTACGAGAGATTTCAGAACGGGGATTGGTTGAGGCAGGAGAGGGGGGAAGGGGTCAAAAATCAAACGGTTGCACAGCCCACACTGAAAATGGTTACTCTTCATTCTGGCCGTTACGGTTGTTTCCTCCAGTTAGCTGAAAAGTAGAGAGAAAGAAAAAATTAATAAATGAGACAATTATGAGGCAAACGAGAAAGATTGCTCCTCAAACACATGCTTGAAAAAAAAAAAAAAAAAACTTCTACATGTAGATGGCTCTGAAATTGCGCAGTTACGTAATTTGTCATGTGGTTACGTTTTTGGCACTCATCATATATTTAGTTCTACTCACCAGCACCCTCGACTGCTAGTAGCTTCACCATTCTGTTTTCTCTGTTTGTTGGTGACGTTACCTTACGATTTCCTTATAATAGGGTAACTAAAAGAACATAAATTGAGTTTTAAAGATACACAGCAGACTAAGAAAGTGTCCAGATTTGTCTTTTTGTTCTTTTTTTTTTTTTGGTTTGTTTTTGTCTTTTTTTTGTTTTTTGTTTTTCACTCTGATCTTATGCGAGTCAAGTTAGGCGATCGAGAGCGTTTTTGCTGTCGAAGTTATTCGAAATTTGACAAAAAAACTTATTTTCTGTTGAATTAATTGTCAAAATATTTAAAGTTTGCTGGAAACTGAACACTTGTGTACTTTTTACAGAATGGTCTGTTGTTGATCTGAAAGTAGAGGAGGATTTTTCTCGAAGTGGTCTTGCCAGGCAAGATCTAACCATGTTGAGATGGAGCAGTGTTCAAAGACTGTTTTAGTGTAGACATGATGAAATGTAGCCTTTTTAAAAAATGATGTTATATGTGTAACATCTGATGTGACAATAAAGCTCAGAGTTAACAAAATGATGTAAAAGATTGTCTTTCGTGTCTAAAAATATACTTGAAAAATAATGTAAATTAAAAGGCAATTGAGGAATGTGTTTCGTTTCGTGACTATGGAAGCACTAGGGATGAATTCTTTCGAGCCAAAAGATAGTAGCAAAGGACACTTTCTGTCAAGATTCAATGCTAGGACTACGTCTAAAATGTCCTTCATACACAGGTAATGGCATCTGACCACGAATGAACAACCATGAACTTTATCATGGTATTTAACTTCTCTTTTTGACTATTCTTGCCAGTAAAGCATTATTTGATAAAAGATTAACTAAATAAGTCGAAGAGATAATCGTCAAACATAATCGTTGACACTTAAAAAAAAAGAGACGAGAGTCATCGTGCGCGCGGGAACACAAACCCTTCGCGATTCCTCCCTCGCGCCTCCCATAAATTCAGATAAATTCGCAGCTTCTCATAAATTCAGCCAGCTTCCAAAAGTGATAAGGCGTAATAGTGTTCACTCTCCTTCTCGTGTGGTTGTGCATTTTAGTCAAAAAGGAGAGTAATGGCGTAATGTCGATTTAAAACTGAATTCACCTTGAACTTATCGTTTTCGGGTGCTGTTCAATTTCTTCAGCTGGCATTCATTGCAAGAGAAAAATGACCTTTTGTGACTTGAAGCCATACATACCCAGACATACTGTTTTGTCTGCCAAGACTGAGTTAAAACAAACTTCTTTTTCTCAATGATGTCTGGCTTTTTTAATTTTAATCGATTTAAAATAAAGCAATGAAAAGTTTATTTATGGGAGACACCTGAGTTTAAAGTCCAATTTAAATTGATTTTAAAAAAATAATTGAATTTTACACCAAAATAATTAAGATACCTCTTCATGGTCGTCTGGTTCCAATTATTTAACAAAAAAGTGTCTTTTCACTCTTCCTCTCCGCCCTTAGCCCCCTTAAACTATGACTTCCCTCAAGTAATCCATTTTATCGGTAAAATATTCCATCAAGTCCACCTTTAGCCAGTTGCCATTTATAACGATACATGCTTAATATTATGCCCACAGCATAATGGTATCTATCTCAGACTAACGGAAACAGGCATTTGTTCTATTTGGCACCATTGAACTTTGGCTGACCGGATCAAAAATTGAACAGACACCTGACCGAGAACAGGTAAAAGGCTTGTGAAAGCAACTGTTGTGGTATCTCGCGTCCAATCAGTCTGCTGCTTTGATAGGCGATGTTATTAATTCTAACACAAAGCGACTTCTTTACCCATCTATCAAATTAATATCAAACCAATGACAGAAACTGTTCAGGGCCTCTGCATACAAAAACCTAAAGGTGTCAGCTTTAGAATGAATACCCTCAAGCTTTTTTTTCTCCTCTCTATAGAGAAATTTCACTTCGATAAGCACTGCTAGAAAAATAGGGCAACCTCCTTTAGTTGAAGCCCTTGAATTTGACGAAATACGTTATTCAAACACTTTTGTTTGGTGCTCTGAACTAACCACAAGTGCAAGCCACCATTAGAAGACCCTTATATTTCCCTTTGTCAACAGAAATAATTGATGGTGGCGCAAGTTTGTGTAGACACAGCTCAACGCTAGGTCTGTATGCTGGATGTTAGCTGTACACCTTCGGCTTCGCATCCTTCGCTTTGCTTCCCATCGAGTTCAGAGAACTCAATTATCAAGAGGTTTACAGGTAATTTGGCGAGTTTGTTTCACACTCGATCTCTCGGTTTCTAGTTTAACAACAGGGAGATACTGGAAATCAACACTAAACAACGCCAGACTTACATGAAATATCAAAGGCTACGTCTAATGGGTCTATGACCAATTTCTAATGTCGGAACCTTTCCCGGTGAAAAATGAAACCACTAACAAAATACCGTCATGCTACCCTCTAAATAAATGGTTGATCCACCGGACCCCCACCCCCTTCCCCCATAACAATTCGTCAGGTCCCCTGACAAATGAGAATTGCTTATTTCCACGAGAAGCTGTCAGAGTGTGATGTATTCAGTGCCCGTGTCCACGGAATAGTGAAAGATTCGTGGCGGAACAAAGCAAGGTGCGGTATCGCTTGTATTGGCATTAAAATTAAAATCTTCTATAGCAGCTGGAAGATTCATCACAACACAGATGCCACTGCTGAATGGAAGTCTGAGTTTTTAGCTAAAAGGATCAAAGCGCTTTTATGTTTTACACGCAAACAGATCAGCGCATCATTTTTAGGCGTTACCTCTTGAGCATGGCTGCCGGAAATGCTCTTGCCCTTGTAAACTTCTAGAACAGATTTTTGGAAGTCGTAGAGAACCTTTATCTATGTATTCCTGTTAGGAACGCAAGTACCGGAAATTTTTTAACCATGTGCACGTTTCCTGAATGACACTTTCCGCCGGCTGGTTAAATATTTTATCGGGCTTCGTTTTACACGATCTGAACAGTTCCTTTGTTTCTAGAAAAATGAGAAACATTGCTTTACACTTAGATGACCTTAAAACATTGATTCGGCCGCAAACGAAGATAAATCATGTGATTATAAGAAAAAAATTCCGGCTGCTGAAGAAGAAATTTGCTCAAAATTTCGTCTGACCTACCACTGGATTAAATCTCTTTCGATGTGTCCTCGAAAAAAGAGGAGTGTGTTGATTAATTGCGGTTTCCTCCATCTCAATCTGCCGGTGCCCCAACAAGGTATTCCCTAACTGATCTACTTTTAGCCGGGTATGGGCTGCAACTAGGTGTATTAGGTTTGTTGATCAGTGCGGCCTCTATTAACCGAGATTAATGGTGTCAGAAACAAATTCCATATATCAGAACGGCCTGTAAATATCAATATCGCCTCACTCGAGAATTTCAAAATTTGGGCTGATCGACGGTTGGGAGTGAAAGTGCTGAACATTACCACGGCTAGGTGGTTGAGTGCCATAAACGGTTCCTCGACATTGAAGAGCGTTATCTAGCCATTCATAATAGACTATCTGCAAGCTTGCAATTTGCGATAGAAGACCATTTCTAAAGGTGCACTCCGGCGACGCTTACTACATAGACATGTAATATTTTCTACCTCGCTGACGGGTTCTGGCCAAATCGGAACTCGATAGGGTTCAATACAAACAAGCGTTTTTTCTTTGACACACGTGCATGGGAAATGTTCAACATCTTTCTTCAAATGTAAAAATTTTTCATCGCCCAAATCCGCTTAAATTTTTTTTTTTCAGTGATTACATAATTCACATTTCGTCGCGCATAGACCAACATTTTACGATCTTCATATTTCGTTTTGAGGATGTGTATAAGATTTGATAATGAAGATGCGAATTGAAATAACTTCATTCGAAGATTCGATATTCATGCAAAGTTCTCAGACTTTGGGAACTTCTCATACATGCGAGGGTCTCAGTCAAAAGGTAGCTAGGATGGCTGATAGTTATAGTTGCGAGTTTAAATATATCACTCTTGTGTGAAAACATTGCAATTCAAAAGCTAATATATCACAAAAATGAAGGCAAAAGAGAGTATGGCAACTCTAACCTAATATTTATCTGTCATTGGAAGTGCAATGTAATAATCTGACTAAAGCGACGGTAACGATACGGAATTCTGTAGCCAAAACAGTTTAGTCGCGGTCGAATTTTTGTAAACGGGCGGTCTCGGCTTCTCCAGAGTCTAAGATTTTATCATCCACCGCCCTTTTATGGACTGGCGCATTTCGGAGGTCAAATGCACACCCGGTACTGAGCATCGCAGAGATTTTACTCGCGGTTTACGTTTTTTGCAGCTATACTTGTAAAAAAGTTTACTTTGAAGCGTGAGAGCATCGATAACACAAAGCTACAAATTCCTAAAGAGCACAACCGAAATGTCTCAAAATACCTCACCAGAAACGCTGCCTACAGATGAACAGACAAACGCTAGAGAAGACAAGAGAAGAAGCGAGCAATCGAACGGAAATTAATTAAATGGCTTTGTACGTTCCGAAGGATCTCATAGACTTTTTCAGTTCGCTAAACTCAAGAAGCAACTGCGAGTTATCTTCAAAGTGGGAAATTTTGTTTCGCTAAGAACAAAGTAACTATTTGATGAAGTGTTCTCTAACATAGGGATTAGGTTCTCAAAGTGTTGCGATGCATTGTTCAAATTATGAATAAAAGCGACAATAGCAATTTGTTGCCTGTCAAAGTGATGATTGACAATCATTTCTTGTGATTTTTAACAGGTTGAAACTGGCATTACATGACTGAAAGATGATCCAATTGCTCAGTCTCTTGAACAAACTAAAACGGAACATAGAGCAAATTTTCAAACCTGCAAATTAAATTATGTTAATACATTTATCTGGGATCTCTTATAAATCAGATTCAGAGATCAGTACGCGTTGTAATTGCATTACCCATTTTGACATCTGCCGAAACTAGGCCTGAGGAGCGGAAACATTCCATCAATCCTGGTTTTATAGGGTCTTTATATCAATGCTCTCAAAACAAGGTTTAAAGATCCTTCAGGCGATCTAAAAAATCTTCTCTATTAATTATTCTGGTCACGTTTCGAGAAATCAAAATAAAATCTGTTCTGTGCCAATGTCTTGTTTGGAATCCGTCGGAATTGAGTCATTTCTTGTTCCTAAACTTTTTGACCCTCAAGCAGTCGTTGCGTGAGATCTCGCTGAAATGACAGCGTCTCATTTCAGCCAACAGCTGTTATAAAGCTCATGTCATCTGTCATGTTAACAAAGGAAAGAACAAGCTTCGTATTAAGTGAGTGTTAAAATTAGCGCATTTAAGCTGCGAAACTGTTATCGCCCAGCATCAAGTGTCAGACATAGCTGAGTGGAATGACCGAAACTTTGCTCCCGGGGCCAATACGAATCGACATATATTGTTTGATAAGTGTATAAACCTTTTTTTTTCTTGGGCCGAAGCCAGTTTTGTGCAAGGGTCTTAAGGTGTTTCATCGTTTTGGGAGCTGTCGGCTTAAATGTTATTTACGACATAAATTATTATAGGATATTTTCCCTGTTACCTACAACGTGCAATTTTGCATGCTCAGTTGCAAACTCGCAAACGCATCGGCGTTCAGAATTGCACGGATACAATTTTATTTAAAAGTTTCTTCTGGAGAGTTATAAACGCAATACCAGCAAATGTGGCCAAAACTTGCGCCAGTTCTTAGGCGTGTTCTATTAATTTTACAGTACAAAGTTCATTCGCTCAGCATACCTCACAACTAGACAAATACAAACTGTCAGAAAACTCTGAGAATTTGCGCGCTTTTAACGCCACAATATTGAAACGAAAAGATCCCGAGAAACTGCACCGTGACTAACCATTATAACTCTACTAAGCTCTGCTTCACAAAAAATTACATCGTGGGATTCACTGCGGTGGTAAAGCCATTCAGTTTGAAAGCATGAGATCATGATACAATAACCCTCTTTGCAGAGGAGAACATTCTTTCAACTTATTGAAGAGAGATTATTCAAAACATGGCTAACGACTTCCCCTTGGTCCTGATTAATAAGACAGCTCCGGTATTAATTTAAGAGAAAAAAATAACACTGAAAAAAAGATGCGACTATTCCTGCTCTTCAAACTTTATTTGCTTGTGTGGACAGGAAGTATGTTACAAGTCACACAGCAAAAATATATGAAAAACAGGTGACTTGCAATAAGCTTTCTTTAATCAATGTGCAATGAAAATAACAGCAAAGCCTATTTAATTCGAAGGCTTAACGATGAATTAGGGAGTCCTCTCCGGTTATTAAAATTCTTCAACAGTTCACATGTACTTAGCCCTTTGGATAAAACTGTCATGAAAATGCAAAGAACGTATAATTTGAAATTTTGTGGTGAGTAAATGAAACTTGTCACTTTTTTTGTTGATAATCGTTCTCATTGATATCATATCAGCGCCAACGTGTTTCAAATTATCAAAATACTACACCAAATATAGTAAAATTTTGCGATGTAATTTTCCCATTTCCAGTCATTAAGAAAATCTTTATACAGGTATAGAGGTCAAATTCATTTAACAAAGGTATTTAACAACTCTCAAGATAATCTGAAACTGTAATGTTACTCTTTCAGTTTATGACCGGAAAAGGAAAATTTGTGAAAAAAATTGTTTATGAGATGAAAACTGTGATAAACTGTCCTATGAACGAATTTTTTTAACCTAAATCTTTCCGCCAGACACCCCCATAAACTGTCAATTTATTAAAGAAATAAAACAGACGTACAGCGAGTCAATTATCCCCTTTAATATCGATGAATGAAATAAGTAAGCTTTGAAAAATTACTGCGACATAACCACAAAATTGGACGAAAATTGATAAGTTGCTTACTGGATGGATTTTTTCGTCAGTTGTCGGTCACCTTAACAGAATTACAGCAGTGAACAAAAATGTACCCACATGAATTAATAGTAACAGCCACGAGCCATTACAAATGTACTCCTGTGACAGTTCAAAATTACATGTATTTCACAAGGGTAATTGCGTTAATTGCCAAAAATAGTGGAACGAACAAAGGTTTCTCTAATTGGGAATCATTCCTCATTCATTTCTCAGTCAAAAGTTATGAACAGTTATCCTCGCCCACGCAAAAGAATCACTCTTGAGGTTTATATGTTTGCGGTTTAGTTGATATCCTGTGAAAAAAGTTGGAAAAAAAAATTAGTAGGGAGTGACCGGAACTGGAGGTGTATTCAGAAGAATCCTCTTGTTTATTTTTTGCAGTTAATTCATCGACGTGGGCCGCAAGTACTTAAAATTTGGAGCGATATCAAATAGAAGTGTTTCGGCTATGTTTGCTTGTTCCTGTTACGTAGAAGAACAAGCCACGCCAGTTAAAGGCCTTCCGCTCTCTCAATGATTAGTCGGCTTAATTATTCAATGTCCGATTCAGAGATGAAAGTTTTACAGTTCTTGCACCTCAGTAATGATCTTAAAATCGTTCTCTGAGGAAACTCTACGCGAATCAGTACATGCTGAAAATGAAAAAGGTTGTGCAGGTTCTGAACCAGTTTAAAAGTCCATGTCAGTAGCTTTCTGAACTCATTTCCGGTTTCCTACATGACATTGGCAATTCTAGCACTAAACTATTTTGAAACTGACTCTAGGCTAACCAAATGATTAAAATTTCACACCGTAGGGGTGACAATTGGCCCCTTTTAATGGTTGAGACATAACTGACTGATACCATTAAATATTTTTTTTGGTTTCCTTGTAATCATCAAAAGTTGGACGACTTAGTCTGGGAATTTAACCTCAGGTCGCACTGAACAGCATCTAAAAATTAATTAAAGCTGTCCAAATCATTGGTGCTGCTGTCTGTAAGTTTTTCATGACAAATATACTTTTTTGGTGAGCTTTTCTACCTCAATACATTTTATCAAACAACAAAATAAAAGATGAGACCAAGCCGACTGAATTCCTGACGAGCTCGAAGTAAAGGCTTAAACAGCATCAGTGAGGTTTTGGGGCTTTGGTGCAAAACTAAAAACGTTCGGTATTTCAGAGGTCTGTGGAGAGGGGGACGCTTAATGAATGAGTTACAAAAATACCTCTGTAACGATAAAAGAAAATATACGCTAATAATTTTACAGGGGTAACATCAGTGTTCTTCACAGCAGAGAAAGCACACTCCCCGCTTACAGATGTGTTCTCATGGCGCAGGTGGAGCGAAGTTACGTTGGTTTTCATCCACAACGATATCAGAATAATCTAAAATTACAATGACCTGCCCTTGGCTGCCTTATTTCATTATACATGAAATCGTTTGAGCACATGAAGATTCGTTTTTAGATCTTATCACCAACTTTTTGCAAGATTAATGTAAATCGTTGGATTAACATTCAAATCCAATTTCATAGTTTTATCAAGCTGTACTTATGCGTTCTGATTTTTTAATAGTTTAAATACCACACGTGATCAATTAAAAAAATCACAATAGTTTTACCGGAAATTCGGCTTTCAGCCTCTATGTTTTGGTTATCTGGGCATCACTTTCAGCCAAGCTTAAAGGGCGTTAAGGCTATTTGTTCGAGATAAGCTCAAACTACGATTATTAAGTGAGGGATTTCGCTGAGAGCCAAATGAGTCAGGTTGAATCTGTCAGATTAAACTTATTCAGGATTTCAGATTTCTAGCAGCGACGCATTTTGGAATTTTTGTTCGCACATGTGTTTAACAAGTGCCCTCCATATTTTTTTCGATAAATTGAATTCAAAATAAGCTCAGCTATTTTGCGCTCCTTTCAAAACAATGTGTTGAAATAGAAACCTTTACCGAAATAAAAAAGAAAAACAACGCAATTCGTTGTCGATAGCTTCCGGGACAAGGAACATACAGGCTTCCTCTGTTTATTTCAAGATAAGTTTCGGTGATCTTCAAACGACACCGCTGGCAGGACAATTCATACCACGCTTAATCTACTACAGAAAAGGACAAAAAATAAACAACTCGGGGTGGCAAAGCTGATCTGTGGACATAATATGAAACAGACGCCAGCAAAAAATCGATAAAGAAAGAAAGAAAAACATTTCCAAGCGAGCAGTCAAGAAGGAAGCTGGTCATTAGATCTCCGTGGGAGAAACGTCCGATTGTGAGAGGTTTATTATTGTGTTTTCTATTTGAAAACATTATTCCAAAAGGGTCCTTTGTTTTCATATCAAATAATTTTCTTTTTTCGTCTTTTTCCTCCTTCGGAGAAGCAACCCCACAACTGAGTTCAATTTGAATTTCGCGTGTGTAACGCGTGTGTATCGCGTGCCGTCTCGCCTGACTGCATTTTTAATCAGTGACGTCATGGTATAACTTCACAAGGAGTTTTTAATTAACGTGCAAAGATGTACAGAAGTGATGTACAAAATTCAAGTGGTTTCTACCAACGGGGCACAATGGGTTTAGTGGGCAAACAAATTTCAATTCAGCAGGAAAATTAACATTTTCGTTAGCGGGAGATCGCAACTGCAACTTCGCTCCAGGTGAAGGCAGAATTTAGGATACGCTTTAATATGTAATCTTTTTGATATTATTCCGGCTTGTTGTAGTAGTTGTCGGGTTGTAAAGGAGTTGAATAAATAGCCAACGATGCTAATTTCATGAATAATAAGATGTCTGGCGAGGATTCTGGGCTGATTAGAGGAGAGCATAATGGAAAGCATTTCCGTGCAAATGGTGTTAGAAGCACAAACACGGTGTTATTATGGTTGGCAAAACGAACCTATTTAACATAAAATGTAGACATCTTGTAGACGTTTTTCACACCTACGAGATAAACACACTGAAGTCTTTTCAAATGAGCCACTACCGAGTTCATTGCGTTTCAGGAATATTCTGCTTAATTTTCCGCACGGAATCAGGGCGTTTTGAAGTTTTATTCGATTGAACGTGAGACACTGTTTTCCAAAAATACTTTTGTCCACGTGCTCTTCATGTCACAGAACCTCATTATCTTGTAGCGCATTGTTTGGAGATATATAAACAACATGGACACAAGAGGCATGAACACGACGGGTATAGACTTAATTGTTTAAATCCAAGTGCTTGTGTCAGGGTTATAATTCAAGTTTATTTTTCGTCTCGTGGAGCGAAATCCCGTCGACATCCGTTGTCCCACTGGATTCGATTTCGTTTCGTTCGGCGAGCGGAATAATTTCGTTTCCTTAAATAATCATTGGTAAGACAAATTAGATGTAGTACAAGCTTTTCGAACAATTGCTAGTTAATTGTATGACCTGGAGTTGTTAATTGTCATATAATCGATTGAATTACATCTAAATACATGTATATGCATGTCCTCGGCGACCGACATCAATCATTTTCGAAACCGCATAGAGAAAATTCAATAAGTTGGCCATGTTAGCTCTTGGCACTGTGTGCTGCCTCACAGCTGTGGGGGTTTCCCGTGTTCATGTTTATCGAATCGTCTTCTCTGCTGCCAGAAAGTGGAAGCGATAAAATAATATTCAGCCACAGCTGTGAGCTTCGATATCTATAGCACCGAGTCGGTAGAGTATTTCCTTCTAGAGAACATCACTTGAGGGTCCACACTAGGAAGGGAAAAAAATACAACTCTTCTCCGCCCGAAGGAAAAAAAAAAGAGAAATTACATATCGGTGAGTGATGTATACGATGTTAATATATTTCCAAAAGAATGCTAAAATTAACGTGTCAAAAACAAGTTTAGATGATCCGATACAGCGATCGATCGATATTCAAGTAACCGCGACTGGGAACACAACACAATCGATCCATATGTTAAACTCTTGCACTCGGTTTGCGCTGTTCAAAATGTAAACCAACAAAATAAACATAGCAGAGAGCAATAAGCACATAGGTTTGCAAAGGCTACCGAAACAGCGCTCCCCTTTGAGATGTCATGTCGCGGTATTGAATAGCCTACAATCGCATTCATAATGCCGATAATAACCAGAACAATCTGACTTCCTACGCTAGTGCAATCATTAGCTAGAAGGAGCGATCAGCAATCACTGTTTTGAGACACAACAGAAGTGAGTGCACCCAGTTGGGCGGAGCAATACTCCGCAAAAACACCCACATGGGCGGGTTTTCCCTGTCACCCGTGTCGTTTTCCATGTTGGCAGTAGACAATAATAAATGTAAGCCTAGTTAACAAGCCAAGTTCTGCCAATCATTTTCTCGCGTTTTCAATACAAAGCTTGTTCCCTTTTTAATTCGATTGGTTCGACCAGCAAACGTTGTGTCACGAAGTGTCAAAATTGACGGTAGCCCTTGTAGAAACTACAAGATGAAACGATTGAAGATATTGTTTTGTGCACACAGGATCTGAACGGTGCTCAACGACTGTTCCATGTGTATGTACAGTACATCAATACTAGCTGCCTAACAAACTCAATCGACACCGCTACAACTCAGTAGCCATTTTATTCACTCGGCCCGAGCTTGGGCTAAGAAATACGGCAGTAAACATTTTTTTCGTCTTGTTAATTTATTTACGTCTCGATTGCTACGATTTCAATCTACTTGTCGATCGACTCAGTTCCTTGATGCTCCGTCTTGAACACTGATGGCAAACTCTGCTGCTACAAAGATTTCTTGTCCTCAGTTTGGATGTACATTCTCCCCACAGGTAAGATTTTCGAGTTGTCAGCAACTTGTTCGACCACATTCGATGCCACGAACAATGTAAGTTTCATCTCCATGAAAACCAGACATGATTGTGTGTACCCGTCTCGGTTTTTTTTTTCGCAGCTGATGATTCCAGGCGCCCATACTTCTTGTTGTGAATCTGTGCGTTCACCTTTGCACGACGGCCTATCTTCGCCCTCGTTGTGTCCTTGTCAGTTAGATCGCGTCCTTCAACATCGAGTTTCTACAATGCCAGTAAACTTGCTTCCAAGACCGCCGTTCAACGAAGCTGGTTTCACAATAGGATCGACTGCAGACTTGTCTGCTTTCTATTCGCCTCTAGTGAGTGAGACTTAACCGTACGATTGTGAATTTAAACAACCTCGTGTAATTTTTATTCCCCCTTCGCTAGTCTCCCGATTAATTGATCTCTCTTTTACGCCACTTGTTTCACTGATGTAATTGTGCCTTAAGTATTTTTTTCTTCTCCATTAAGTTAATTGAGCCTAATAATTGTTTCTTGAGTTCTTTCTCATTTTCTTTGCTTGGGCGATCTTTAATCGAATAGGCACGAGCGTGCGACATCAAAGAGTGGAGAGATTCTTGGTACTTAGCTCAAGCTACTGCTGCTCGACATCCTTTAGAGATTCATGGGTTTGATCCTCATTCCCACACATCGTGTCCGGGACTCGGAGAAAGGTAAATAAATTAAATGTCTTTGCCGATAGTTACTAGACCACTTAAGCAAACTGTTCGAGTTTCTTGTGCTAGTGAACGTGTTTAACTACAATTCCGTGCAAGTCGAATTTGCTACCCACCGCAACATTGAGAGAGGCAATACTTGTCTTTATTTAGGTTGGTTATTAGTGGCGGAAGAACTTAAATATGGAAAGGTTCCTTTTACCAATCATTTCAATACTGATATCGTTAAGATTAATCAAGTTTGTGAGCAAACAATGACGATCGAATTCTCTAGAGAAATATACACACAGCTAGTATTAAACATTTCAGCTAACTAGTTAAATTACAATTGGCGCAAAATTGTAACTTGGAAATGGCTTTCGTGTTTTAAAGGTTTTCTCCGATCGATTTGGCCGCTGCGGGAGCGAGACGGAAGAACGCTACCAGAGAGACAACAAGCACACTCAAAGCTTGGCTTTATGAACATAGAAAAAACCCATATCCTACAAAAGGCGAAAAAATAATGCTAGCTATAATGACAAAGATGACATTAACGCAAGTTTCAACTTGGTTTGCGAACGCAAGACGAAGGCTTAAAAAGGAGAATAAAATGACTTGGTCTCCGAGGAATCGATGTGGCGAGAAAAAAGAGGGCGGCGAAGACGAAGACACTGTAAGCGATTCAGACGCTGAACACAGCGGCAGCGAAGAAGAGAAAATTTGCGATGATAAAGAAGAAAATATAACTAACATTAAAGGTATTGATTGTGGAAACATATTCCTGTTTACATCGACTCGTCGATTTTAGATATATCGGTCGAATATTGTCAGGGATTAAGCTAAAGTCCTTCTATACAACTCATCTATTTTTAAGCGCGTCTAGTGTTTGTATTGTCTGGTGTTTGCCTGCTAGACATCGGCCCGAGAAGGGATTTTTTCTTTATTTGAAATTTCTGAGAAAGCCAGATCGGAGATGTAATAAACTTTCTTAGCGCTACAGCTGGAAATCATGCTGTGGTCCTCATACAGTTTGTAGCAAAATTGTTGTTTTTCGTGGGTGCTATCGTTTGTAAAGTTTAGCGTTACGTACTGTTCTGAAACAACGAAAACAATTTCGGATTAAGCTATTTCTATCTTTGTGTAATGGCTGGTACTTTGAGATCAGTGAGTGGCTCAGAGAAACACGGGGGAACTTTAAATGGAATGGTTTTTCTGAGTGGTCAGAAAAAACTCCCACGTATCCTTTGTTTATTGAACAGAAACGCGCGAGAAAGATGAAAAGGAGGAAAACACGCCGTCGAATACGATGGATGTTGCGGAGCAGCCTAAAAAAACCCATAACTTGAGCACGGAAAGTTCGCCAAACAGAACGGCTAATCCTGTCGTTCAATTTCAAGCATTACGGGCTGTTCAGTGTGTTACTACTGGTGACCCAGAAGATTCTCCAGTCAAAAGCTTAAGGAAATGGGTGGATGGATGCTTTCATAACACGCCTGTTAGTCTTGTGAATACCAGTCCTTCGACATGTGAAACACCTCCATCGACACCCCCTCAGAAATCGTCCACCGAAGCGTCTGTCATCATACAAGGTAAGATTTGAACGCAGTAAAAGAGAACTGAATAAAATAGTTAAGAAATGGTCTCTTACCATTGCTCAAAGTGCCACTGAGAATATCGTATTGTTCAATTACTATGGATCATTAACGGCACTAAACATTGCCTCCTTGTAATATGGCTTCGAGCAGGGGTTGCCAAATTTCAATAAGCCATGGCCCCTTTATTTATTGAAAAAAAACCCTTGTAATGGTTTTTAAGGGTACACTGTTTAACGAAAGTGGTTTAGTAATTTTGATATTCCGTTGGCTTGGATCCCGTTAGCTTATTGGCGATGTACAGTAAATTCATTTGCGCGGTTTACGTGTATGGTAGTCGGGGATTTCGTTACAGAAATATCAATCACTCTAGGGTGAACTTTGGTATCCTGAAAATGTTGCATGCAACCTTAGCGGTGTGGCAAATTTCCACCTTTGTGTTAAATTTAGACTCTCAGGTCACTGGTTTCCTTTAGGTAAGAGCCAAAACGGAGATGATTTTCTAGTTTTAAAAGTTTCGACAGAACTGTTTTCGTGCAGGGTATCCAAAATCGCCTCTAGAAAACCACCTTGAACTCTGATCGAATACTTTCCGGAGAGACGACACAAATTACCATTGCTTTATTTATTTTTCGCGGCTTTACTTGCAAGCTTAGGATGCAATCATTGTTTCTAAATGCGTCATTTCAAGAGGAAAGATTGTAGTTGGTCACAGAACAAGATATATCACAAGCAATTTGTGCTTTGTCTGAAGAAGCCATTTATGTCTGCCAGAGTTCATTAAAAAAGACACACACTTGAGAAGTATTGCTCGCTCTGTAAAGACCTTCAGTGATCAATCCTGACTTCTAAGCGAATAATTAAATATTTCCTTTTTTGATAGCAGCACAACTCGTACTTCAGTGTGATGATTTACTGCTTTTTAAAACTTACAGCATTCATGAAAATCTTCACTATTCACCAAATTGGTGCGAACTGACACGTTTATCGTCTGGTACAGATCACATCTAGAACGAGTTGTTTTCCCAGCTAAATTATACATGAGACCCTAATTGAATAACATGCTAACATGGTTTAAATTTCCCCACAAACAGATTTATTTCACCTTGCACTCTAGTACTTCATTCGCTTTTGAAGCGAAAATCAGTGATGTTACATTGCCCACTGAGAATTTGTGGAGCGCAGCAATACTTTGAAGGGCCTTTGTTGCCTCACAACAATTTTATTTCAAGTGTTAATTTTCCAGACACGTTTAGAATAATTACCGACCCATGAACGCTTTCAGAAACGAGAGAACGATGAAGAAAATAACCCTCCGCTGGGCAGTTTTAAAACACAAACACAGAGTTTTTACTTTGCGTAAATAAATTTCAATATTTGAATCTTGTCTTCGTTTTGCACAACTTAACGAAAATCTTCCCTCTTGATTGCTAAGTTTTTCTTAATAACCCGTCTCAAAACCAGTTGCCGGGTCGTGCGAGTGTTCACAAAATATTTCTCGTATTTTTTTAACAGTACGGAGTTCGACACCTTCTCAAAGTGAAACAGAGAAGAAAGAAATAGAAAGTCAGTCACCCCACAGAAGTTCTTCTTCCAAGGAGGAACCTATAACCTTGGAGAGGAAAGAGGAAACGGCGAGGGCTTTCAATACCGTAAGCAAAAGGTAAACAATAAAACTGCAGGACACTTAACATTTATTTTGTACAAGATACAATTCAAACATTCTCTAAAGAGAACGAGGAATAATTTATATCTGTATCTGATAATTTGATTAGGGTTCGGAGATCTATGTACCTTGTGTTTGGCAAATCGGAAGCAAAGAAATGGTGTTGTCTCGCTGAAAATATATTTTGTGAAGAGTACGCTTTCTGTTTACTTCTTTGGAACATGTGTTGAGATTGTCATATCAAAATTAATAAACGCAGTTTGGCAAGGTGGTTCCTTTGTGGGTCTTCGTTTAGTTGCCGTTGGATCTTTTAAATCTGAAATGTTTTATTTTTTCTGCTTGTTCTCCACAGCATAACCGTAGAAACGTCGAATTATCGAGAAATTGACGCAGCTTTAGCGCTGACAACTCTATCAGCTCGATAGGAGGAAAAAAAAGCTGCTCTGCTGAAAGAAATAATTTAAAACAGCCGTGAAATCAACGTGTGTATATAGAAACTGAGTGTACGATGTTTTTCTAACTGAATTTAAGTGAGGATTTCGCTTTCAAAAAACAACTCTGTGTAAAACACATAAGATTTTTCCGTCTCGGTTCTGGTGTGGTTTGGTTTGCGTGTGTTTGTGTTTGTACGTTTTGCGACTGGGTTAGTATCAAATACCAACCTTTTATTAAAGTTCTTGGGATTTTCTATGATGTTTGAAGTCGACGATAAGTTTGTGACAACATTGGACTGCTAAAAGCACTGTCTGATGCAAAAAAGGACTCGCACATTCGATTTGTTTTACATAAGCTTGACACAAAGTGTTGAGAGGGCTACTTTGTGAGTTGCAAATTTTTCTAAAGAAAAGGAATAAAAAAAACAACGGGTTGTAAATTAGTTGTGTTCCAAAAAAATTTCATAGGAAGCTAAATTCACACTCCCCGGCACACAAAATGTATTATAGATGATTTAAATTGAATTTCTGTAGATAAGAAAGAGATTATTTGTAGTTGAAAAAAGAATTGTAATTTTTGAAATAAAACCCGCTTTGATGAAACTGGTTGGTCTCGCTTTCTTTTGTATTTGATTATTTTGTGACGTATACGGATTATTCGCCGGCGATTTCATTGGAAATATAACGGAAAGTGGATTAAGGGGAAAATGTTGACTTAACCAAACTTAATATCTCGCTATCTCTAAAGGTAAACTTGTTCTTTGAAAATCAGGAAAGAATCAACTATCTCGAAAATTCTTTTGTGACCGGAGATATTAACAGAGTCCTCGAGAGGTGTCTGAAAATTGGAGGGAACCTTCGTGTCTCTTCAATCAATATTTCAAGTTTTCGTTGCCTTGTTTTATGAATTCTTGTTGCTTTGATACGCGTGAAGAGAAGAGGCAACATGGTGTTATTTAGATATTGTTAAAATATCCGCCAGAAGAGGGGAGCAAAGGTTAACTTCGAGACTTTTCGTGACCAGAATAAGCCCTTCGTATTGCAAAGACAAAAACACATCCCTTATCTGGTAGACAGCTGTTTACAAATTATCTTCTAATAAATACAAAAAGATTACGTGTCAAGATACAACTTAAACAGACATGTTGAAAATAATTAATCTGGAACTGCCAGCGGCCCTTGGACATGAGAACACATTTCTATTTTAGTTCGATTAGCGTCTGCTAAGACCGGATTTGTCCACGTGCTCGAACGTACCGACAATGGAAAACTCTCAGCAAAATGTCAACGTCTGTTCGGAATCAACCAAGCTTTTCACATCCCCCGCTTTTTTGTCCGAAAGATAGGTCACCACTAAGTGCTCCAGGCTGGCATATTGAGATACAATTTGCACTTGCTCGGTAACTTCAATAACCACGCATGGCTCAACTTGAATTTAAACAAACAGTAAATACAGGAACTTCAACGAAGTGTTGTTTAAAAAATAATCAACTTGCTTGAAATCGAAATAAAAGAGAGACTGTTTTCATCCTTTTAACATAACAGTTTACGCCAATGTTATTAAATTAAATTGAATGTATTAATTATATTCTTGAGACAAAACAATCGTGGTTTTGACTATTTTTTTTCGGTCAGGAATAAGAAAAAACATGAAAAAAGCCACCCTAAGGCGAGAGAATAACATATGTTAGTACTTCAGTGTAAAGATCCCCCACACACTGATCAAAATAACGTACAGCCACGAGCAGTGTCACTGTTTTTCTAAATTTTTGTTATTTCTTTGCCTTTTTCTTTTTGCTGTTTTCGTATCTGGCGTGCTTACCCAGTAGATAGGGATACAATACATTCGACATATAAAAAAATATAAAATTAGCTAAAGAAAAATTAACAAAAAGATAGAAATGTATGTACAGTTACTTCTACAGAACATCACAGTGAGTTTGAATACAATTTCTAAGCTTCAGTGAGTTATTTGTTCCTTACATCGAGAAAAACTCTTCTTAAACCAAGCAATAATGAAAGGTTGACTTGTTTTATCCTCGGCGGAGGTAATTTCCAAATTATTTCTGTATGCTTTCCCGCAAGAAAACCTTAATAATTACATCTTGTCTGATTAACCACTCAAACCTCACAGCTGAAAAACATTATACGGGCGCCAACAAATGAATACTGCTTGTAAGGAAAGCCATCTCCTTCACCCATTTATTTTCCACTTTTAGAGTTTGTCAGAAACATTTTCCTAGCATTTTAGGGCGTACACGACTTGCATGTTGTGTGACCATATAAACCGTACAAAGAAGGAATACGAAACAATCGGTCAGAAAGTCGTTCATTTCATTGTCTTCACCAGAGGTTCATCAAAAGCGAAAAAGCCAGAGTTTATTAGCTAGACGCACAACCAACATTAATCACCTATTATTGAGAGATGAATTTATTCACTCTCTCGACTCTTAACACCCATCTCTGCGGACGATATTCCTTAATTAACAAGATCAAAAATTAAAACTGTTTAAGTCTTGTTTTATTGCATGTTGGAGTTGGTTTGCTTTCGAGTTTCCGCTGCCGACAAAAACCTTTAACAATCTCATTATTGTCTTGCGCTTTCGGCAAAATCAAAACATTGTTATCTCGGTAGGAAAACTAGCTGAGATAATGCCAATAATTGCATTTAAGGTTTTTCCTCGCTACTCTATTAAATTTTCGCGATATGAGCGAAGCTGCTGTATATCAGTGGGGTGTCACCTGCTTTGGTTTTTGCATGCAACGGAAATCGGAATCAGATTGTTTGGGCAATTTTCGACAACAAAGACATCTCTTGCCAGTAAATACTGGTTAGTCCTGCGTATGACAGTCGTAATTTTAGCAAGAATCAAGTTAACTGGGTTTCCGTTTCAAGTACTTCCACTCCTTATTTTTGTTGTTGAGGTTATTTTTTTTTTTTTAACATGAGTAACAGTACACGAAATAAAGTCACATTAACACCTTAAAAGAAATTAAGCAAATTTTACAATGTATTAATCGGTTTTCAGCTTATTTTCACAAATTAAAGTCTATTCAAATTCACAAAAGGCTTATGCTTTTGGGTAAACATTGGCGAAGAGAAAACACAGACATACTTGACAACGATACTCCACTAGATAGGAACTGCTGTTATAGCATAACACTGTCAAGGGCTGTCTTCATTGACGCATTTAATGAGAGAGTTTAAGATGGCACACTAAAGAAACGTAATACACACAGCTTCCAATCCAAACACTGATAAGGAAAATTACCAACTGCTTTTTGAATGTTATCAAGTATACCGTTGATCGACTCAAATGAAGACAGTTGTCGCTTTCAAGGAAATTATCCCAACAGCACTGACTTTGTAATCAATGTAGGGACAATTAAGTTCAAATTCTAAATTTTATCATCATTATCATAATTAGTATTTTTATACGCTATTCTGTCACCGACAGGCATTAATTGGTAAACTCATGTATTTTTGTGAAAATGCAGCGCAGAAAATCGAGGGAAATGTACAGCTGGAATTTGGCAAAGCAACTGGTCATGCCTAAAAGCTGTACCACTGCCCCTTTCGTTTATAATCAAAACCTCAACGGTCTCTTATCATTTTGCAGGGGGTGAACATTGCTCACAGACGTTAGTTATCTTTTGTTTCGATAATACAGAAACAAACAAAATATGTGAACGTTTTTGTTCAGTGCAACGGGTGCATAGAAAACTGATTTCCACAGCAAATTAAACTAAGTCTTTTAAAACTTGAACTGTGTAATTCAATTCAACCAAAGGTAATAGTCACTCAAGCGAGAATCTAATTGATACGAATATTTTGCCGTTCATTTGTAGTTATAACTGAAAATGGGGTGATTTAAAGAGAAACATTAATACATGCAGTATAAGACAGTAAGATAGAAAACACATTATTTCAAATACGATCTACTACCGATATCTCCTTGATTTTTTCACTATTTTTTCCAGCCCTTAGTTTTTGCTCAAACACGCATAAACTTAGCTTTTCCCGAATGTTTCTTGTGTACTGCAGGTTTAACCAAATTAGATAAGGCCAAACAGTGAGGGTTTTTCAATCAATTATCTGTAAAAAACCAAACCCTCCACCCCCCACCTATGCACAGTTCCAGAAATCGACAAGGGATAAAAGTATTTCGAAGATAAAAGGTGCTGTGGTTATCGCGGCCAAACACTTTCTACACGAAAGCCCCCGCCCCACCCACCCCTCGGCCACTAATTCCAAGGGATTTGAAAGTAAGAGACAGCTGGGATGAGGGAGGCCTGGATTCTACACTAAATTTCATTTCTTGCTTTGAAACAGCAAGACCACAATTGGAGTATCTTTAAAATTTGAGTCTCGTTGTTTTTAGGTTTATCATATTTAATCTTTTCTAATTTTCACTATAACCAGCCACCTATGTTCCTTCTTGTTTTATCCTTAATTCTTTCGCCCTATTTTTTGTTTTTTTTCTAATCAAAAAAGTGTTTTATAGCCTGACAAGGTTGAAGATAACGACGCAAGAAATCACTCAGAAGAATCAGGTCGTAAAATGAGAATTTAAAGCAGCTCTCTCGGAAATATGTAAAGGGGCTAAGTTTCTAAAGAAACTGTGGTGCTTCGTCGGTGGGAGAGTATAACAGGGTAATTCAGTATTATAAACTGAGTTGATAACGTAAATTGGCCACCGGAAAGAGTTTCAAGGCTGACGTTTCGAGCGTTAGCCCTTCGTCACTTTCTCTCGAAAATAGTTCTGTGGTTAAGCTCCGTAAGAATTTTTGACACATAACTCACACGGTCCCAGGTTCACTAGCGTACTCATTCAAGCAACTTAAATCTTTGCTTTTTTCCTCAGAGAATAGTACCATTTTACAGACGTCTAAATAGAGATTACTAAAATTAGAAACAAAAAGTCTGGAACTATTTAAAGCAGCGTAGCGCCATCCTGCGTTAGTGTTTAGCAGACTAATTATTTGTACCTCCAACAGATCAAAGGAGTGTTACAACAATACATTATTCAAGACATGTCAGATTACAATTGCAGCGGCTTTTTTAGAGAAGATTCTCTTGTCTAGACATAGAGTATACCGCTGTCAGACACAGAAACGCCCCAAAAAGCTATTTCAAAACAAGAGATTACAAGGTTTTACCAACAATAACTGCACGACCTGCCCGACTGTGGTGTCTAACGAGCTTGATAGATACGATAGCTTGTAATTGACGGTCGAAATAAGAACGGTGAAAGGTTTTACGCACGGCTTTTGAGTGGGTTTACTCGATACCTTTCGCGTTGAAGGCATAAAACGGAAAAGTCGTACTCCTTTGCGCCCTGGCTTTCAATTTCACTCCTTTAAAATCTCAGTAAATAAGGATTCGATTACTTTCTTGTGCTGCAGGTAGCGGAAGATGAAAAATTCATAGCTTATGGGATTTCTTTCCTGTAACTGCCGGGGAAACATCGAATGAAAACGTAAAAAATACACAAGAGATTAGACAAGTGCAAGCAAACATTTTTGATTAGTGATTGCACAAAAGCTGTAACGACAAACTTTGCTCGGTACAATTATACTCTCAAGAACATACCTCAAGCTAA